AGAGACAGGGTAGGAAACATTAGTTAGCTTTCAATTTTCTAGTTCCCAATTTTTCTATTTCCCTTGTTTCAAAACACTATACACCTGCTTTTCTATCCTTCTATCTTAGATTAGAAAAGAAACGTTTTCTTTTTCCCCCTTTTTAACATCAAAGAAACCTTTTTTGTATTAGATAGCAATAAAAGAAGATGAAGATGCAAGATGTTAAAAATGTCCCTGTTCTATATCCGTTCTTGTACTATTCCCCGTTCCTCATATATTTTGCAATAAAAATTATATAGGGGAAAAAAGAACCTGTTTGGATTTGTGTTGCTTGTCTTCTAGGGAGCTGTTTTAGCTTGTGGGCAATCTTGTGAGATATTCCTTAATCCAACGATGAGTGACTTGCCAATGAAATCCAAGACTCAATGTTGAATTAATCTGGGCATGCTTTCTCTATGTCAAATGGGTGGTTTTTGTTTTGTCTGCTTAAAATGCAGGCTTTTATTAGGAGAGTTAATGCCACATATCTGAAATCCTCTTCTAAATTGTATAAAAATGGAAGAATGCCATTACAAACCAAAGACCTACAGCAACTGTTATTTCCTTTAGCCGTGCTTTATTTGCATCAGCAGCATCCTTGTTTGCTAACTTGATGATCATAATAATGTCTTGCTCCTGGGAATAACAAGGCTCCTGATTGCTCCAGGGTAGTTCTATGCAAGAACCTCCCTGTTGTAGATCATCCTGTTCAGCCTGATTGCGTCTGATGTTCATGTTGATGTTCACGATGGGAATTATGTACATGTTGGTGTTCATTATGCGAATGGGGATGTTGTTCCTGATGATGGGCCTGAGGATGAGGGTTTTGCTCGGGCCGGAGTTAAGTTCAGAAGGCCACATTCCTGGGAGAGACCTTTCACCACTTTTCTCAGAACAGCTGTCTGAAAATCTATTTATTTATTTATTTACTTATATATCGCTGTTCTCAGCCCGAAGGCGACTCACAGCGGTTCACAACCAATAAAAACAGCAATTATTCAATGCAGCATATAACAACAATTCATAGAATCATAGAATCAAAGAGTTGGAAGAGACCTCATGGGCCATCCAGTCCAACCCCCTGCCAAGAAGCAGGAATATTGCATTCAGATCACCCCTGACAGATGGCCATCCAGCCTCTGTTTAAAAGCTTCCAAGGAAGGAGCCTCCACCACACTCCGGGGCAGAGAGTTCCACTGCTGAACGGCTCTCACAGTCAGGAAGTTCTTCCTCATGTTCAGATGGAATCTCCTCTCTTGTAGTTTGAAGTCATTGTTCCGCGTCCTAGTCTCCAGGGAAGCAGAAAATAAGCTTGCTCCCTCCTCCCTGTGGCTTCCTCTCACATATGTATACAACTTATGCTGAGATTGATTTGCCTTTGGGATTTTCATGTTTTTTTGCCTCATGGTTTCAAGTGCCTTGCTTCATGGATTCCTATGTACTAATGGACCTGGTTTCCCTTTGAAGTTTATGGATTATCTTGGGTTTTGGACTTCTGCTGTTTTGCTAAATTTTTTTTACTGTTTTGCCTACATATATTCTACAATAAACTCCTTGCTGATTTTACCAAGCGGGTGTGTTGTTTAAGGTCAGAGGTGTTCCTTCTCTGGAGTACGACACTCCCTACCCTTAAAGCAAAAAAAGGTTTGTCACCTATCTTAGACAGTTTTCAAGCAATTCTTAGCATACATTGCAACTGAAGTTTCCTTAACTATATATACCATACAGTTAATATTTTGCAGAAAATGTCTCTTTGTAGCAGCAGCAACTCTTGATTGTTGCTTGGGATGATAGCATTTGTACATTTGAAGAAGAGAGCAAATATGCTTTCATGTTAGTTTGTGTCTTTAAGCTGCTTTGTGTGAATAGGCTGCATTTCACAGAATATCCTCTGCCAAATATCCAAAACACTCAAAATGCATTCAAGTGAAAAATGAAAAACTCTGTGAGAGGAAGAGCGAAGCCATTTGCAGCTTTATCTAACTAATTGCTGCCCCATCTGTTTCATCCAAAGTTTGAAGAGGAGATTAATAAACTTTGGTTGTTAACAGCGTCTGGCTGCCAAGTCCAGTGTACTGGTGCCTGTTTCTGTACACGTTGTGCTCAAAATGAGATAAAACATAGATTTATTTTAGTATTTTCCCCAAGGTGCTGGCTTTGCCATATTAACTGGCAGATGGTCTAGCAGCAGAATGACTGCTCTGGTGTCTTGATCACTGCATTGATCATATCCAGTCTTTGGTGGGAAAACTGACACCTTCAGGAACTCAAGACCAATATCCTGGCTCTGAGTGTTTGAGTTTTCTTTGACATAAATCTTGTTTCTCAATATTTCACTTAAAGAAGTCCATGCATTTATAGGTTTTTCTTCTGTTATAGAAATCGTGGTACCTGAGTCAGAAATAATGTGGACAGGATAGGGATAGGTTCCTGCAACACAGGAGAGAAGTGCAGTTTGACATCTTCCAACTATTTTTAATTCAAAACTAAGATTATGCACATGTGAAATGAAACAGGCAAACAGCAAGTCTTTAATAACTGTCACTCCGTTCCATCTGTCACTAAAGAGGCTGTGCAGGTCCCGAACTGGTGCTTGGCAGCTGTGTTGGACTGGATGAGGGCGAACAAATTGAAATTGAATCCAGACAAGACGGTCATAAGGCTGAACAGGGCATAGTGTTACAGTCTGTTCTGGATGGGGTTACACTCCTCTGAAGGTGTAGGTTCTCAGCTTGGGAGTGATCCTTGATTCATTGTTGAGTCTGGAAACCCAGGTGTTGGTGGTGGCTACGGGAGCTTTTGAACAACTAAAACTTGTGCACCAGTTGCGCCCGTAACTTGGGGAGTCTGACTTGGCTACAGTGGTCCACACTCTTGTTACATCCTGTATAGATTACAGCAACACGTTCTACATGGGGTTGCCTTTGAAGACTGTTTGGAAGCTTCAAATAGTCCAATGGGCAGCAGCCAGATTGCTTTCCGGGGTGCGTTCAGGGAGCATGCAACCCCCCTGTTACGTCATCTCCACTGGCTGGCAGCCTGCTACCAAGCATAATTCAAAGTGCTGGCTAAATGGTTCTGGCCCAGCTAACCTGTCTAAACGTATCTCCCTCTGTGACCCACCTTGGAGATTAAGAGCATCGGGGAAGGCCCTGCTCTTTGTCCCCCCCCCCCCCCCCCCCCCCCCGCAAGCACGACTGGTGGGGATGAGAAACGGCCTTCTCAGTGATGGCCCCTCATTAGTGGAACTCTCTCCCCAGTGAAATCAGAACAGCCTGCTCCATTCTGTCTTTCAGGGAAAAACTTGAAACATAGTTATGGGACCAAACATTCGATCAGTAACTGTAGCAGTGCAATAATGAAGAGCAACGGACTAATGTACTGATTCCAGACTATGATTTTGAATTTGCATTATTTTAATTGCTGTTTTAATTGTAATTGTTATTTTTGCAATTTGTTTGTTTGGCATCGAATTGCAGCAGGTTGTGAGGCCATCCTGAGTCCCCTTTCGGGTGAAAAGGGAGTGGTACAGGTATAGGAAATAATAATAATAATCTTGATGTCTTTCAAATAATAATAATAATAATAATAATAATAATAATAATAATAATAAGCAAAACATTCCCACTTTTTAGAGACATTTTGAAAGCATCTTCCAAAATGTATTTCAGCATGATTTTTCTTCTTTCAGTAGCTTGCGCTTTTCTTATGGTTTCCATCTGGTTTTCCCCAAAATCTTAAAACTCTGGTTGGCTCATGTCTCCTAGATATTAAGAACTAAGCTCTGAGGAGTTGAAAGGTTGTAAAAGTTATGACTTGAGTGTTCTCGTTCAAAACATAGCCATGTTAGCCTGGAGTAGTGTGCAAAGGAAATATTTATTTATTTACTGTATTTATATTATGCCTTTCTCATCCTTGGGAGAACTCAAGGCGGTTTACAACATACTAATGGCAAAAATTCAATGCCAACATACATTACACAAAGAAATCATAATAATTAATTACTACATATAACTATGAACTTAAAATCATTAAAACCATCAAACATAAGACACACATAAAATTTAAACATTTAGACAAGCATAATATCATCCTAGTATAAACATTAAAATCCCAATATTTGAGAGAAGGAAGTGTGTGTGGTGTAAGTACAGCATCTAATGAAGTAGGGTCAGTCTATAAAGGAATAACACTTTATAATATTATAATACTTTATTTGTATCCCTCCACCATCTCCCCTAAGGGACTTGGAGAAGCTTACACACTATAACAGTGCAGGCAATTAAAAAATCATTACGTAACAACGAAAGCAAATTCAGTCAACAAGCAACATTCATCAATGCAACAACTAATCAATATAAAAACAGCAACATATCAAATTAACAGAAACCATCCTTCATAAAGTGCAAATGAACTGATTATGTTATGTAGACCAATTAAAACATCCTAACTACTGGTCTGGGTAAAGGCGGAAGTCCAATTAAAACTTAGTCCCATTTAAGTCTTCCCACTGTTAGGTATTGCATTCACCATCGTCAAAAGCCTGTTTGAACAGCCAGGTTTTCAGTTTTGCAACAAACTTCTTTCTCTCAATTAGTCTCAGAGGTGCCAGATTGCCTATTGTATATAATGATATATTTATACAGTGATTTGAATTCTCCTCCCAAAAAAAGATACCAAAAACAAGTTACTTAACATGTGGCTAGAATACTAGAATATAAATAACTATTGGTGATTTCTGGAGCATTTCTGTTAGAGAGCATTGTGCTAAATGACAGCAATCAGATATCCTGTTAGAAGATGAAAAGATATGTCTAATACTGTCCCCTCCAGCAAAGATCCAGCTTGTTATATGAAATCATATGATTGGCCCACGTTTTCTAGTTCTATGTAGTGAGGCCAGGGATGAAATCTGGAACCTTTTGTGTGTGCTCTATCATTGTAGTATTTACATTCCTTGTTTTATTTCCCCTTTCAAGAATGTGGCATGCCAAGATGCATTGGAAACAGCTGCTCGAGCAGAAGGGCTTTCATTAGATGTCTTGACAAGTTCTCACTTGGGAGAGTTGGATGAAGCCCATCACAAAGGGAAATATCACTATGGCTGGAACTTGATGAAACCTATCCGGACTACTTCCAAGTAAGATTTGGAACTACAAATGAAGCAGACCTGAAAACAGGAATATTTAGATGTAGTAGAAGCATGCCTGCTAGAAAAACCAAATTTTTACTCCATATTATGCTTGCTAAGAAAGTGTCAGTCAGTATCTTCACTAACAAAAGTTTTGTATTTCATTGCATATTAGTCGCACTCCCCCCCTTTTTCCTGAAAAAATGGATGCGACTATTATGCAAAGAAAAACATAGCAGTTACGGGGCTTTCCTCCGTTATCAGCTGATGGAAACCCTGTAGCTACAAAGCTGCTCGCATGCCTACTGGATGAGAACTGTGAGGCCTTCCATGGCTGCTGCCACCCAAGTGAGGAGCATTAGCTCGCGAATGCAGGAGTCCAAGAGTGATGGCATCTCGTTTGGCTACAAGTCGAGCGAGACTCCTTTGCTCTCTCCTGCTGGCATGCACGGGACAACAAATGCTATGGAGCTTTCTTCAGCCGCCAGTAGAGCAAGGCCCCTTAACTCCCACCCACTGGCACATGTGGGAAGTCATTGGCTATGGAGTCTCCTTTGGCTGCCAGCCAAGCAAGAACCCATAACTCTTGCTGACAGCCACACAGGTGAGTGAAGGCTCACCTCCCCATTTGTCTGCTAGAGAAAGCTATGAGGCCTCCCTTGGTTAATGCTAGCTGAAAGAGACCTTATAGCTCTCTGTCCGGCAGGTATGTGGGTAGGTGAAGGCTCACTCAACTGTATGCTTGCAGGAGAAAGTTCTCATGCCTCCCTCAGCTGTTTTTAGCCACAGTTCTCGCTGACAGGTGAACGGTCAGGTGAAGGTTTGCCCTCCCACCTCTCCCCTTAGAGCTAGGGAGGGTTGCTCTAACCCAGTGGTTCTCAACCTGTGGTCCCCAGATGTTTTTGGCCTACAACTCCCATAAATCCCAGCCAGTTTACCAGCTGTTAGGATTTCTGGGAGTTGAAGGCCAAAAACATCTGGGGACCCCAATTTGAGAACCACTGCTCTAACCAAAGCATGCCTCAGTTAAGTCAGAAGGGAGAGTCGATTGGGTGGGTGTACTCAACACCAGGTTCAAGTATTATGTGAGAAAAGCAAAATTTCCATTTTGGCACCCTAAGAAGGGGTGTGTGACTATTATGCAATGAAATATGGGTAATTATATTTTGGGACATTGTTGCTGGTTATAACTTTTTCCATCTCTATTTATAGGTATCCACACCCAATTGATAATTCTGGACTTTTCTCCTATATGACTTTCTCATGGCTGACTCCCCTGGCACGAATAGCTTACAAAAAAGGAGAGCTACTAATGGAAGATGTGTGGCCTTTGTCAATTCAAGAGTCTTCAGAAGTTAACTGTAGAAGGTAGGGGTATCTTAGAATATTTGTGCAGAGATTTTCTTCACAGGGAACCCATGGTGATGGCATCTCCCATAAAATATGTGATCCCATTAAGGACTGTTGGGCAAGTGGGCTTATTAACAAAAGACCCTGCCCATGAATGTATAGCAGATTAACTTAGCAGCAACATGTTCCAGCAGCAAAGTGATAAAAAGAACAAAAACACACAGACCAATGTTATATCTTCCATAGGAGGCTTTTCTTTGCACTATTTACAAGAACAAGGTTTCCATAACACAAATATGGTCCTTTATACTTCCCTCTTTGCTTCCACGTTGGGCTTTTTTCTCATGCAGATAAATAGCTTCGCTCCCACAGAGTCTCTTCTCACACTTACACAGGAGCTTCACACAGTAGCTTTATATACAGCAGCCATCACACTGGAGCTTCACACATGAGGCCTTCTCATACCGAGGTCTACCTCACACTCTGAGGCGTTCTTTTACGGTGAGGCCTTTTTCCCACTGAGGCCTTTGTACACAGCGGTCTCTCTCAGATTGAGGCCTTTCTCCCACTGAGATGAACTAACACTGAGGCCTCCTCATACTGAGGCCTACTAACACACTGAGGCCCTTCTCCCACAGAGACCTCTCACAGACTGAGGCTACTAAGCTATAGGCCAGTGTTTCTCAACCTTCCTAATGCCGCGACCCCTTAATACAGTTCCTCATGTTGTGGTGACCCCTAGCCATAACATCATTTTCATTGCGAGTTCATAACTGTAATTTTTCTAATGTTATGAATTGTAATACCTGAGATGAAAGATGTTGTTTCATTCACTGGACCAAATTTGGCACAAATGTCTGATACACCCAAATTTGAATACTGGTGGGTGGATGGGGGATTGATTCTGTCATTTGGGAGTTGTAGTTGCTGAGATTCATAGTTCACGTACAATCAAAGAGCATTCTGAACTCCACCAACGATGGAATTGAACCAACCTTGGCACACAGAACTCCCATGACAAACAGAAAATACTGGAAGGGTTTGGTGGGCATTGACCTTGAGTTTGGGAGTTGTAGTTCACCTATATCCCGAGAGCACTGTGGACTCAAACAATGATGGATCTGGTCCAAACTTGGCACGAATAATAGGTCCAAATGTATGCCACCGGTGGAGTTTGGAGGAAAATAGACATTGACTTTTGGGAGTTGTAGTTGCTGGGATTTATAGTTCAAGCAAAGAGCATTCTGAACCCCACCAACGATAAAATTGGGCCAAACTTCCCACAGAGAATCCACATGGCCAACAGAAAATTCTGTATTTTCTGATGGCCTTTGGTGACCCCTCTGACACCCCCTTGTGACCCACCCCAGGGGTCCCGACCCCTAGGTTGAGAAATGCTGCTCTAGGCACACCTGCTTATATTTATTTATTTATTCAGCTTGTATACCGCTATTCCCAGTTTGGCTCGTAGCGGTTTACAGAAATAGATTAAAACAATACAATTAGCTTTAAAATGACCATAAGAATAACAATAGGCAGCGAGAACAAGCATAGCCCGGATTGTTCACCCATCAAAATATTGAACTGCAGCTTTTACTGAGTCATTGCATCCATTTAACCCTTTCAGTGCATGACTCACATTTTTGTAATTAAAAATACCTAGTTAATTTTTTTAATATTTCTGACAATGACTTCTGCAGGTCATTATGCCTGTGGACCATGCTTTTGCTTCATTGTACAATTGTCATATTAAGTTCAAGGCTCTGGAAGTGGAGTTGTGCTCTAAGCAAACTGGTTATTATTTTAAAATAAAATTTTATCTATTTGGCTTAACAGAAAGGTTCCTTAGATTACGATTTGTACTGTTTTCAGATTAGAAAGGTTGTGGCATCAAGAACTCCATGAATGTGGGCCAGCCGATGCCTCCCTTGGGAAAGTCATCTGGGGCTTCTGTCGCACCAGGCTCATCATTTCCATAATCTGCTTGATGGTTACGCAACTTGCTGGCTTCAGTGGACCAGTAAGTACTATCCACCCTTTGTCTGAGGAGTGGGAGCTACCCCACAGCTAGTTCTAATGTGTTCCAGTTGTGTTGCGAAATATTTCCTAAGCATTCTGGTTATTTAGAAACCTTTCTTTCAGTTTGCAGTGAGGAAATAGGCTTTGCAGAAAAATGTGAGAATTTTAAGATTTTTCAACTGTTTTCTCTCTGTATTGGTGTGTTTTCTTGCTTGAACTAGTTGATTGGATGAGGGAAGGGGGGTGGGAATTTCTGGGTGGAAAGCAGTTACCTGTCAGCAAATGAGGTCTTGGTAGGTCTCTTTCTTTTGCTGCTCTCTGCGAGAACTTGAACACAGTCCTGGCCGATCATATTTTAAAAAAATCTAGAAACCAGGGCTCTACAAAACTAGAATCTGGCTGGTATGAAAAGACAGTCAGATTACCCTCCTAGTGGCATGATTGGAAGATTACCAGTGCCACTTCTACTTGGTAGTGAAGGCACAGAATAGAGTACTTGCCATTCACGTTCATTTTCTTGTCACCTGTTTGTTGCACGTGCAGTGCAAGATTTACACTTTTGACACGTTGACTAAATCTATTCTCTACAAATTTCCCTTGAGGAGTAGGCGCAGTGTTATTGCTTGTAGTTCTCACATTTCAGTGTGCTGTTAAGCGGGGATGGTTCAGTGCTTTGGTAAGTACAGCTGAGGTTAATGTTGAAAAACAGTCTTGTCTTTTGTCTCTTCTTTCAACAAATCTCCCCAATCCCACCCATTTCTTTAAATTGTGAAAGTTTTCTTGCATTTCTATATTAGAAAAAAAATGTTTTTTTTTTTGGTATTTTGTTTTGTTTTGTTAATGCCTTGTGATGAATATTAAAACAATTCCAAAAATACACTTTTCACTGCCAAAGAGTATGAGGTTTTAACAGAACCAGCTTCCCCCAAGAAGAGCTTCTGTCATTGTTTCACTACAGGGATCTGTGGATGCTCTTACCTGTAGTAAAGAGTGGGCAGCAGAGTGGTTTGCAGTGTCACCATCTTAGTCTCGACAATTGCACTCACGTCAGGTACAAACTGCAAGAAAGAAAGCAACAGAATAGGATTCCACCTATGTTGGACTTGGATGTGCCACCTATGTGGATCCTCTAATGCAGTGGTTCTCAACCTTCCTAATGCCACGACCCCTTAATACGCTTCCTCATGTTATGGTGACCCCCAAAATTAGTTAGTTGCTACTTCATAACTGCCATTTTGCTGCTGTTATGAATAGTAATGTAAATATTTGATATGCAGGAAGTATTTTCATACACTGGACCAAATTTGGCAGAAATTCCCAATACACCCAAATTTGAATACTGGTGGGATTGCGGAAGGGCATTGATTTTATCTTGTGGGAGTTGTAGTTGCTGGGATTTATAGTTCACCTAGTTCAAAGAGCATTCTGAACTCCACGAATGATAGAATTGAATCAAACTTGGCACACAGAGCTCCCATGACCAACAGAAAATACTGGAAGGGTTTGGTAGGCATTGACCTTGAGTTTTGGGAGTTGTAGTTCACCTACATCCAGAGAGCACTGTGGACTGAAACAATGATGGATCTGGATCAAACTTGGCACGAATTCTCAATATGCACAAATGTAAACACTAGTGGAGTTTGGGAAAATAGAATCTTGACATTTGGGAGTTGTAGTTGCTGGGATTTATAGTTCACCTACAATCAAAGAGCATTCTGAGCCCTACCAACGATTGAATTGGGCCAAACTTCCCACACAGAACCTCCATGACCAACAGAAAAACTGTGTTTTCTGGTGGTCTTTGGTGACCCCTCAGACACCCCCTTGCGACTCCTCCAGGGGTCCCGACCCCCAGGTTGAGAAACACTGCTCTAATGTCTGGTCATCTGTGAATCAGAATAAGCAACTCTCCTAATCTGCATCATTTGGAATCACTCTCTTCACTACATTCAAACTGGATTGGTATCGCCACTGAAACATCAATGCTTTAATTTAAAAATAAATAAATCCAAGCCCTCTTTCTGTGGGAGGATGTTACCCTGGGGAAAGAATACTTGACTTGCCCCTTTGTGTTTTGCTAAATAAAATCCAAACCATTTTACTTCTGGTCTTTAAATATGAAGCACAAGAAATTTGTGATAGATTTTTTTTGGTAAATTCAAATATCTTGTATATCCAAATTTCCAATGTTTTCTAAAATGCCTTTCTGGCACTGTTTACAAATTTATACTTATCCTTCATGTCTTTGATACACTTTACATTTCCCTAATCCAGTGGTTCTCAACCTGTGGGTCCCCAGGTGTTTTGACCTACAGCTTCCAGAAATCCCAATCAGTTTACCAGCTGTTAGGATCTATTTATTTATTTAGCAGTTTTGTATACCGGTCTTCTCACCTCCGTTTGAGGGACTCAGGCCGGTTTCCAACATCAATATTACAGACAGTCATTAAAACATCATATTCTAAATCACACTAAAACATTAAAATAGCMAAATACAATCATATAATTACAGTGGTCAGTYGTCATCAAAAATCATTATTYGTYGTCATCCATCCATATCACAGGATCATGGCTCATTCRTTGAATGCCAATTCCCAAAGCCAAGTTTTCACCTGTTTCCTGAACGTTAAGATAGAAGGGGCAGTCCTGATCTCCAGTGGAAGTGAGTTCCAGAGTCGAGGGGCCACCACCGAGAAGGCCGTGTCTCTCGTCCCCACCAGCCGCGCCTGTGAGGCCGGTGGGATTGAGAGCAGGGCCCCTCCAGACGATCTTAGCAATCTTGATGGTTCATAGGGGAGGATACGTTCGGACAGGTAAATTGGGCTGGATTTCTGGGAGTTGAAGGCCAAAACATCTGGGGACCCACAGGTTGAGAAYCACTGCCCTAATCATTTGCAAGATTCACCCTCTCTCCTCGGATATGCTGTCTATTGAGATGGCTTCAAAACAATTCACATTCAGATTGGAGCACTGCTGACAGATGGCCATCCAGCCTCTGCATTTGTGGTTTTTAAGCAGAGGCTGGATGGCCATCAGTCAGGGATGCTTTGAATTGATTTTCTGCTGCTTGGCAGGGGTTTGGACTGGATGACCACGAGGTCTCTTCCAACTCTTTGATTCTATGGAGCAAAGGATAATTCCTTGAATTGGATGATGATAGACATTCACGGTGGTAGCTCAGAAGTAGCTTTTCTTGATGGAAGGGCAGTCAGAGTTCCTATCGCAGTGAAGCTCAATTTTCATTCAGACTTAGTCTTTGGTGAGGAGGGCATTGTGGGGCGGGAAGTGGGGGCTTGGATGGGGGAGCCGTTTGAGGTAAGCCTCCCACTCTTCCAGGTCTGCTCCAGTCACAGCTTGCTTTGTGCTGGATGTGGTTTGGGGGACTCTTTCTCTGTAGTGAAACCAATGACAGAAGCTGTTCTTTAGAATTTCCAGGATGGCTGTATTCTGCGATCAGAATGAGACAGTCAAGCTGGGCAGAATCCAACGCCAAGACGAAAGGTAAGGTGACATTTATTCAATGGGAATGCTTAAGAGCCAGGCGGTTAAGGACAACTGTTGCCATAATAATCTCAGGAGTATGTTTCCATGCCTCTGCTAAGTTTTGGTAACTATCATTTTTATGAAATGTCATATGCAAGCGATCTCTTCTTAGCTTTAACCAAACAATGTCTTAAGATCGCAAATGCTCTCTCTTTCTCTCTCTCTAAATATTTCTAAAACTATTCTTCAAGTCTGGTTTTCCAAGTCTGCAATTTCTCACTGGCGTTTGCTAATTCTCTGGACCAAACAAAGTCATTCTGAGTATTTAGGAAAGAATATCTTGCTGGTATTGCCCACATTCCCGTGGAGTGTTTTCCTCCTGAGCTTTGATGCACGAAGGAAGATTGACAGCACTTGTCAGCATGTTGTGGGCTCTGCATCGTGACAGGGGGGTTATTCACCCTTCCAGTGACTCAGTTGCCTTTGTCGGATCGAATCCTGGCAAAGGAGTCAAAACACCTTCTCGCTAAGTTAACAGTAAACCCTCTGCGTAGCCAGTTATGCCTCAACTACCAAGAATATAAAACAAACCTAATGGAGAAGAAACTGGCATAGCATAACCTTGGAGCCTGAGTTATACACTTTGATCAGGGATTTGTGTAGGATTCTTGTTTTTTCAATGGTCAATTTGGGGAACATGATGGACTGTTGGCTCTTAATGTGTGCTATGTGAAAACTCATACAAAAATGCTATACAACTGAGTTATTAATGGTCACCTTCAGAATTCACCATCTCAGGATGTGCATAATCATTCTGCCTTCATTTTTGAAAAACCTATGACTTGAGGCTGGGCTTTAGCAGCGATTACCTTTGCTCGAAGCAGTGTGTTTTTGTTTTCCATCCATTCTTGTGTTGCACAGAACTCTGATACTTGCTTTAGTCAAGGGGACTTCCTGCGGACTTCGAAAGCCTTTTCAAACTGCTTCTTTTTGGTTTCATTATTTTTTTAAGTGGGCAAAGGTACTCTTCCCACCCCGATTAAAGAACCTTAGTTTCCAGAATTATAGGCCTCATTGTTTGGAGAAGCCCAGCTGGAATACCTCACTTAGTAAAGCTCTGTTAAGCCAAATGTGAGAACTCACACCATCCTCAAAGTCTTCCTGAGTAGTTATACAAATTTCATACCTTTTTGGACGCTGTAAACAAATATTGGTCCTGCTTTTCCCCCCTGTATCATTTAATTTTGTGTGTGTATGTGAAGTTGAACTTGATTATGTGTTGGAAACCAGACTGTATGTTGGATTCAGGCCTTGTATATTTTTTTTCCTGTGCATGTAGATTGTATGTTTTCCGCAACACCTTTCTTTTTTTGTATAGTGTATTTGAGATGTGACTCGTTTTATAATGGTGGTACTTTCTTAAAAAATAAAAAAATACTGCTTCCAATTTATTAGTGCTTAATATTGCTGATGAACATGAGTTATTGTGACCCTGCCCTGTACATTCAGACAACACCCATGATGGGGGATATGTGGGTTTGGGGGCTGTTTTTCTCTTTCTGCAGGTGGTGTTTGAAATGTGATTCCTGAGGTAACCTTGTTTTTGTCTTTCAAGGCTAGGGAGGGGGGAGGCCAGGGAGGGGGAGGGTCAAGGGCTGTCTTTTGGCAATGTTATCAGTGGTATCACCTTTTCCCCCTTTTTTTCTGCTTGTGCTTTGCTTTACTATTAAACTGCTGATGTTTATTTTCAGGAATGTTTTGCAAAATGTCCTTCTCACACTCTTCCCCAGTTCAACTGTAGGTACACTTGTTCCTTTTTATCAAATAAGCACGTTTGAAACAAAGAATAAAAAAAGGTCTTAATGTCATGTAAAGGAATATATCTTTTAATACGTACATACTTCAGTTTTTGCATTAGTACAAGATTATTGTAAAGCGTATGTTGATGATGATGGATTGCTTCGGCTAACAGTTGAGGACTATGTTAAGTTAGATGATGTGAAGGAGCATTATTCCAAATTGGAAAGTTCAAAATTATTCTCCCCCATGTGCTCAATTTGATTTCAGCAGAGTGTTCTATACCGGTCACAATTCCTGCTTATCTAAAGATTTCCAATAAGTAATGCAAATTTCTTACATGGGGAAATAAAGCAGCTCCTTATTTCTAACTTAACATAAAATGATTGAATGGGTCCTATGGCATGTTGAGATGTTTATGCAAGTTTGCATTCCTTCCTCTAGGCATTTGTTGTGAAACATCTCCTTGAATACACACAGCAAATGGAACCCAACCTTCAATATGGCCTGTTGTTAGTTTGTGGCATCTTAATGATGGAAATAGTGCGTTCCTGGTCCTTGGCTTTAACCTGGGCTCTAAATTACCGCACCGGGGTCAGGCTGCGAGGAGCTGTCCTTACCATGGCCTTTAAGAAAATACTGAAGCTGAAAAATATCAAGGACAAGTCTATGGGAGAGGTATTGTTTTATACTCTTGTATCATTTTTTGTCTGCCTTGTATGCTGGCCTGAGTCCCTTTTAGAATCATAGAATTATAGAGTTGGAAGAGATCTCGTGGGCCATCTAGTCTAACCCCCTGCCAAGAAGCAGGAAAATGGGAGATGGTGGCAGGATATAAATAAAGATTATTGTTGTTGTTGTTGTTGTTGTTGTTGTTGTTGTTGTTGTTGTTGTTGTTAGAAACACCACAGCAGATACTCTGCTGGCTGTTGTATTGGATCACACGTCAGACACTTCCCAAGTGTCTAGGACTGTGTGATGTATCGGCAAATTTATTTATCGTGTCATCAGCAACCATACCAGTGTATTACATTTCTAACAGAACAAAACAAACAAACAGATTAAAAAAAACCACAGATTTTGCAAACTTGGTAGTTGATTAAATGTCCTTTGACCAGTATCTGGCCACTTGGAGTGCCTCTGGTGTTGCCGCAAGAAGGTCCTCCATTGTGCATGTGGCAGGTCTCAGGGTGCATTGTAGCAGGTGGTCTGTGGTTTGCTCTTCTCCTCACTCGCATGCCGTGGATTCCACCCTGTAGCCCCATTTCTTAAGATTGGCTCTGCATCTCGTGGTGCCAGAGCGCAGTCTGTTCAGCGCCTTCTAAGTCGCCCAGTCTTCTGTGTGCCCAGGGGGGAGTCTCTCATCTGGTATCACCAACAGATTGAGGTGCTGGGTTTGGGCCTGCCAAATAGTGCCAAATAATTCGTGCAGATCCCAGTAGGGTGGCCTTTTGCAGCTGGCAGATGGTAATCTTGTCAGCACTGATTGTATTTAAGTGCAAGCCAAGGTCTTTAGGTATTGCACCAGTCTACTGAGTGCCGATCATCACTAGGACCACCTTTACTGGCTTGTGTCTTTGCAGTTCGATCTTTAAGCCCTCATATCGTGTCATCCATTAAGCTGAAACTGATTGCTTGTTATTCGCTTAAGCTAAAATATCTTAGATGCGCAGTGGTGGCTTCCATGTGTTGAAACAAGCCTTATTGTCTGCAGTTAGATCACTTAGATCAGAACTTTATCCAGAGTCTCCCACTGAGTTGCTTGTAGGATTCTCTATGGTTTTTGTCTACAGAAGCCATTTCTAATAAGATATGTAGTTATCAATAGGAGAACTGGAGTGATGGTTCTCTTTTAGGCTTGTCAGAAGATACCTGTGGTTTTAATGATCAGGAAGCAGGCTCTGCTTTTGCCATAATAATAATAATAATAATAATAATAATAATAATAATAATAATAATTATTTATACCCTGCTACCATCTCCCCAAGGGACTCGGTGCGGCTTACATGAGGCCAAGTCCACAGTACATCAGTAAACAAAAGCAATAACAAAAACAATCAATAAATAATTAATATGAATCACATAAACAAAAAAAGAAACAATAACAGTAACACACAAGCATTTTAAAAACCTTTGGCCGGGCCAAATGTAATAATTTAAAATAAAAAAAAATTATGGTCTTGTACATTGGGTTCCTGTGAGTTTTCTGGGCTGTATGGCCATGTTCCAGAAGCATTCTTTTCTGATGTTTCGCCCACATCTATGGTAGGCATCCTCAGAGGTTGTGAGGTCTGTTGGAAACTAGTCAAATTGGGTTTATATATCTGTGGAATGTCCAGGGTGAGAGAACGAACTCTTATCTGTTTGAGACAGGTGTGAATGTTGCAATTGGCCAGCTTGATTAGCACTAATAGGCCATTCAGTGCTAATCAAGCTGGCCAACTGCAACATTTTCTAGTTTTCAACAGATCTCATAACCTCAGATGTCTGCCATAGATGTGGGTGAAGCGTCAGGAAAGAATGCTTCTGGAACATGGCCATATAGCCCAGAAAACTCACAGCAACCTAGTGATTCCGACCATGAAAGCCTTTGACAATGTCTTAATTGGTTCCCATTGGCTAACATCAAGTGGTGAAGCGCAAGTGTGGGTTACTAAGAATGTTAGTTAATCATTTGGTATTTATTTTTAAAATCTTGCTGCTTTTTGCTCTTTTTTATTGGTTGATTATTGCGTGAATAACTTTGTTTTGGACGTATTGTCGAAGGCTTTCATGGCTGGAATCACTGGGTCGTTGTAGGTTTTTCCGGGCTATATGGCCATGTTCTAGAGGCATTTTCTCCTGATGTTTCGCCTACATCTATGGCGAGCATCCTCAGAGGTAGTGAGGTCTGTTGGAAGTAGGAAAATGGGTTTATATATCTGTGGAATGACCAGGGTGGGACAAAGGACTTTTGTCTGCTGGAGCTAGGTGTGAATGTTTCAAGTGGCCACCTTGATTAGCATTTAATGGCTTGGAAGTGCCTGGGGGGAATCTTTTGTTGAGAGTGATTTGTTTTGGATGTTTATGTCCAGAACAGTAGTCCATAAATTATATGGAATAAAAATAATCTCCAGATGCTGTTCCACTGCTGTTATCCTTGATGATTGTTCACTTGCCTTTTATGTGTTTTAGCTGATCAATGTCTGTTCCAATGATGGGCAGAGGATGTTTGAAGCTGCAGCTGTGGGCAGCTTGCTGGCCGGAGGTCCCATCGTTGCCATCCTTGGCATGATATACAATGTTATTATTCTCGGACCAACAGGCTTCCTGGGATCAGCCATCTTCATTCTTTTCTACCCAGCAATGGTGAGTAGGGAGTTGGAAATGCTCACCATTTCTCTTCCAGATAATGAAAGTGTCTGTAAAGAGTTCAAGCAGAATAAGTTGAGACTTTACACAGGCCTGTAACGAAAAAAAATGTTTTCAGTATTATAGCTGTTTTTAATTTATTTTGGGGTGCTGACTTTGAAAAAAACACAATAAAAATATACCACACACAGTTCTTTCACAAATTAATTATTTCAAACTATTCAGTTCTTATGTAGTTTTGATTTGGTTGGCTGTTGATGTTCCAGTGCCATTTCTTTAAGTGCTTTTGGGTGGATTTTTGTGTTTCATATCAGCAAATTAAAGTGTTTTGAAAGTTTTAAAAGATTTTTGGAAGATTTTAACTCCTTCCTTACTGTTTATTTTTACTCCCAAAAGAAATCTCACTCAATCTTACTATTACAAAATAATAAAGTGAAAGCAAATTTCGAATTTGAGGCCATTTTTGGATTTAAAATGCCAAATTCCTATAATGCTAGCATACTTTAAAAAATACCTTGGGAAGTCTGACTTGGCCACGGTGGTCCACGCTCTGGTTACATCCCGTTTAGACTACTGCAACACTCTCTACGTGGGGTTGCCTCTGAAGACTGCCCGGAAGCTCCAATTAGTCCAACGAACGTCAGCCAGATTACTAACAGGAGCGGGGTACAGGGAGCATACTACTCCTCTGTTGCGCCAGCTCCACTGGCTGCCAATTAGCTTCTGAGCACAATTCAAAGTGTTAACCTATAAATCCCTAAACGACTCCGGCCCAGTTTACCTGTCCGAACGGATTCTCCCCTATGAACCATCAAGATTGTTAAGATCTTCTGGAGGGGTCCTGCTCTCGGTCCAACCAGCCCCGCAATCGCGTCTGGTGGGGACGAGGGACAGGGCCTTCTCGGTGGTGGCCCCTCGGCTCTGGAACTCTCACTGGAGATTAGAACTGCTCCTTCTCTCCTGACTTTTAGAAAACAGGTAAAAAACTGGCTCTGGAAACTGGCATTTGACGAGTGAATTAATAACTCGTGACTACACGGACGGATGGTGATGAACTATGATTTCATTTTGATGACTTGGCCTATGTAATTATATGATTGTATTTTAGTATTTTAATGTTTTTAGTGTATTTTGAGATATGATGTTTTAAAAGATTGTCTGTGATACTGTTGTTGTGAACCGGCCTGAGTCCCTCTTCGGAGGTGAGACGACCGGTATATAAAAGTTCTAAATAAATAAATAAATAATGACTCAATTCTGCAGGCCTGTGTTCAGAAAGTGGGCACATCCTCCCCTGTAATGCAGGAACAGAATTTAGTTTCAAATTGCTCATGCTTAAGGATGTTACTTGTTGGCTTAGTCAGATTTTCTTTTATTCATTTTTTGTCTGTTCTGGAGTAAACCTGCAAAATGTTGCTGCTCATTACTTTGCCTGTGTGTGTGTGTAATAAGACAATATGTAGATAAGTGAGGTGCATGTGTTTGTGAGGGCAAAACGTAAATAAAGGAAACATCCGATCGGCTTTTGCTATTTCACTTTTACATGTCTTCTGGAATATTGCTATATATATATTGACTTGCAAATGCTTCCCAGTTTTAGTACTATTTGAGATAATTATTCTAATTATGCTTTAATTGATTGCCTAGTCCTAAAAGCATTAAATGCAAGAAATGTTATATGAATGTGATGGTGTAGTGAATCTTACCTAGAAGGCCGGGAAAGAAGCCTGGATAACAGTAGGGCAAACCTCCATTTTGAGAGTGTATGCCAGGGAAGCAACCATCTTGAGTGAGGATAGATAGAAGATGGGAAGAGTTTGAGGTCTCCTGGGGTTGGCTAGAGTAGATGGGAGAAGCCAAGCCTTAGGAGGGAAAAAGATTTCAGCTTCTGTGGAGGAGAGGATTGGGAGTTGGTGGAAGAAGAAGTGTTTTTCGATACTAGGTTTTCAGAGAGAGAGCAACTGTGTCAGGCAAGGCTGATTAGCTGACAGGAAGGGTCAGACAGCTACCTGATTTCCTGTAGGAGATAGCACAAGGGATTAGCTCTCTAGACTGAGTTAGTTAGCAGTAAGAATTCTTGGAGAGTAAGCTGATAACTCAGGGGACTACCTAGGTTAGGTTAGTCAGTGACTCATTACTATTACTCTGAAGTAGAGTGAGGGATTTTTTTTGTAACCAGCAGCTATATCTGTTTGGTTAGCTCTGTATGCAACCAAGTGAAGAAACTTATTTCAAGCAACCATCAAGCTATAGTTTACTTTTGTAACAAGTCAAGCGTTTGGTGCCTCTCAGAAGAAGAAGTTAGTTGTGTGTTGTTTTTATAAATAAATCTTTTTTCTATTTAACTTTCAAAAAGGTCTCAATCATTCCTCAGTCTATCAGTAATCCTTTGTTATAATTACAGCCTCTTTAACATCCTAATAGTTTACCTCAAAGACTCATTTTAAAAATCCTAAGGCAGCTTGGGTTAGTGGCAGCATTAAACCAAAAGAAGACTGAAGCAGTGTTCACTCTACCATTATCTATCTAACATCAACTCGCTACCATACTATTGTCCAGTAGTGGTATATTACATATAATCCTTTACAGTGGTGTTCAGCTGTGAGATTTATAATAAGATATAACTTCACACTTCTCTATAATTGGTGCCAGTGGCAAGATTGGTATCATACAGCTTCGTTATAGATGGTAATTAAGAGATAACCAAATAGCAGACATTACTTGGTAGCATCTGAGTTTGTGTACAGCTGTAACTGGCATGAACAGTTTGATCATTTCGCTGTTCTGGCATGCAATGTCCAGGGTCTTGTTTCATAAGCAGAATCTGCTTTGTCCCCATAATGATCCTGCATTACTCTGCTGACTGTCTTTTCACTCCGGCCTTAACCTTTATGCTTGGCTGCTGATTTAAAAATAGACCTGGTACGATTCCTCTGTCATTTCTGGTGATCAGGTGACTTAGCAATGTGTGGACTCTATCTCGCCTCTTAGAAACATGTCGACTTGCTACTATTTTTACTGGAGAATGGATTAATGTGTTTTCACACACAAATGAAGCAGTCATGTCTGTCCTTTGCTCCATTCGTTCCTGAAGTAGCCTTTAGGCAAAGGGTAATTTAAAGTGTGAAGGGCATAGTAAATGAGTGATGGGGTGACCTGTTGCGAAGGGCTCCCCAATTCAAAGAAAAGGGGTTTTCAGGAGAGAGAAGTTACGATTTATTATTTATTATTCTTAATGGAGCCACCAATTTGTAATGTGAGGTAATTTTGGGAGATTGGGCACACTGAACGCCGAATCAATGGAGATGAGGCAGTCTTAAAATCAAAGAGAACAAGTTTATTTTGAAACAAAGCGTATGGTTGCAGTTTGGTGATAAACTTGGAAGATACTTGGAGAACGTTACATATAACTTGGTTGCGATACAGTACAGACTTCTGATGTTACAACTTATCAATAACTTTTGCTGTGGTGAAGCACTTCATTAAACACTGGTTCCTGAGGTGAATAGTCTTCCTGTTTGATCCTTCCGTGATCAAACCTCAGATCTCTAGTTCACTTTTAACTAGTGATCTAAACAAGCTTCTATTAGTCTTCTCTAAGTAATGAAACTCTCTCAACACTTCATTTCCCTGAGCCTAAAACCTGACTCTTCATTCCTCTGAGCCTAAACTCCCAACTCTTCATTCCTCTGAGCCTAAACCCTAACTCTTCATTCCTCTGAGCCTAAACCCTAACTCTTCATTCCTCTGAGCCTAAACCCTAACTGACTTTAACTGTCGCTTTTCAAAACTCTCCTCTCTAAGCTCCTCCCACTTCTCTACAGCATCGTTTCCATGGTAACACACTCCTCACAGCTAGGCCGCTCCAGCATTAGGGCAACCAGTGCAAACACCAATACAGTTATAATCTTATCATTTACAATCAACTTCTGTACACCTGTTTATACAGTCCTCCCTTAGTCTCTGCTTCTGTGGAATTCAGGTTTTCTTTTTTATTAAAAAGACAATAAAATGCTACTTCAGAGGAACGACATGGCACACAGTCTCTCATGCCCTCAGTGAGAAACAGTCCTCAACCAGGCATTCTGTGTTTAATAGCCTGATCTAGTCTATATAAATAAAAATGTAATGTTCGTTTGTGGGATTAACAGAACTCAAAAACCACTGGACGAATTGACACCAAATTTGGACACCTAATGTCCTTCACTAAAAAAATGATTTTGTCATTTGGGAGTTGTAGTTGCTGGGATTTATAGTTCACCCACAATCAAAGAACATTCTGAACCCCACCAACGATGGAATTGAACCAGTCTTGGCACACAGTTCTCCCATGACCAACAGAAAATACTGGAAGGGTTTGGTGGGCAGTGTCCTTTGGTTTTGGAGTTGTAGTTCACCTCCATCCAGAGATTACTGTGGACTCAAACAACGATGGATCTGGACCAAACTACAAGAATACTCAATATGCCCAAATGTGAACACTGGTGGAGTTTGGGGGAAATAGAAACTTGACATTTGGGAGTTGTAGTTGCTGGGATTTATAGTCCACCTACAATAACAGAGCATTCTGAACCCCATCAATGATAGAATTGGGCCAAATCTCCCACACAGAACCCCCATGTGGCATAGCAAAGTGTGGCAGGGGACGGCTAGTGCTTAATAAATTGCAATGCTGCTGCAGTCCACTTCACAGTGCCCACAACATTTCCTTTTAAAAAATCTCAACTCAGTAAAGGAATGAATAATAACACTGGAGTAAATGTCAGGCAGCGTGGTTTTCACATGCAGCTCTAACTCTGCATGCCCTCACCCCCCTGCAGATGGCTATAATAAGACTGGCTTATTTTGGAAGGCTGGTGTAAAATGCTTTTAGCAATAGCTTTGCTTCTGACCATTTTGGAAAATGGCATTCATTTCCTGTTGGGAAAAACCAGGAATCTCCATAGGCTTTTGGAAGCATGACCCTTTTGGAAATTAATTGGCATTCACGCTATTTGGAATAATCATAACCTTTGTAAAGGCATGACCTTGTTAGAGATCGTAACCTTTTGTAAAGTATGATCTTCCCGAGAAGAGTTAAAAACTCACTTGAGTCAACCTACTCCTTAGTGGTGAATATCCACTAGAGTTCATGCAAAGCAAATTAGATTTCACATCTGTTAGACTGATATACATAGTTATCTCTCTGAATTGTTAGGAACAAAGGTATGCCAACGCACAAAACCAGAGTTTCAGAAGTGTTCTTTTCAGTGCCCCCCCCCCCCCAAAATCTACTCTCCCTTAAAACATCTTGGTTTAAATCATACTCTCAAGAGACCAAAAATAGGTTGTCTTTGTTAAAAGTAACATAGTTGGTTTTCTTACAAACTTCATGTATTCAGCATACAAGTACATTGCTTATCAATCCAATTATAGATAGATTTGAAATAATTTTCTCTGTGCAGATAACACTGGGCATCTTTCTTAGAATCCAGAGTGTAAAGCATCTCTGGTCTGAGAGTCTAATGGAGTCTGTCTTTCTAAAACGGAGTCTGAGTCTGAACAATCCCAGATCTGATCATGTGGTATGCAGCCCCTCCCACAACCTAGAGTTAAGGAAAACTGCATACCAATACACACATATACAATACAGTAAGCAAAACAGAATCATATGCAAACAAATTACTAGTGGAGGCTTGAAGAAGGTTGCTATTTCCAACAGACCATATGAGTATAATGTTATTTAATTTTGCCTACATGCATGATCTAGATAATGTTTTGTATTTTTACAAACCCCAGGAAAAATTGACTTAAAAAGGTCATGAATTCCTGTTTTTCCTGCAGTCTTTTGCCCTTGGGTCAACACAGTACTGCCCAATCACAGTTACACTATAACACCTGGATTTCTGAATTGTTTTGTACCAGAGAATATTGTCCCTCCCATAAGGAATAAGACAGCAGACAGTTGAATGTTCAGTCATTGTTTTCATTGAACCAACCTGGACACAGCATATTATTTGAGAACACAGAAATGCTGGACCACTCTCACAACCACCATGTCAGACTACACAGAGAAGCCACTGAAATGCACAAACATGTGGACAATTTCAACAGAAAGGAGAAACCATGAAAATGAACAAAATCTGGCTACCAGTATTAAGAAACTCTAAAATTACAACAGCACAACAGAGAGGAAACAAACAAGGACATCTAATCACCTCTCAACAAAAGTTTGCTCCAGGCACTGTCAGGCCATTATATGCTAATCAAGGTGGTCAGTTGAAACATTCACACCTAGCTCCAGCAGACAAGAGTCCTTTGTCTCACCCTGGTCATTCCACAGATATATAAACCCTTTTTCCTAGTTCCAACAGACCTCACTACCTCTGAGGATGCTTGCCATAGATGCAGGCGAAACGTCAGGAGAGAATGCCTCTAGACCATGGCCATATAGCCCGAAAAAACCTACAACAACCCATTGTTTTCTTTCATTGACTGAAAACGCTGAAAGACAGAAGCAGGCTAGTTTCTCCCAAAATAATGGGCAAAATATTATCCAATTGATTGCAATAAAAATACACAAATATAACTCATGAAAACGTGTAGCCCTCTGAATATCAGATGGAAACTATGACCCAGGGAACTCTAACTTTATGAGTTACATGGGAGGGCTTCATAATAGGTTTCAGGAGTTCCCTTCAGCTCTCTTCCTTTCAAAATGGGTGTTGATATGTATCTTAAGAACACATCTTCCTTTCGTTTCCTAGGGGAAACACCTTATTGAGAAGGGAAAAATAGCAGGCAACACAATTTCTATCTTGCACATTAAATTATCTCTCACAGGCTTATTCTCTGTGTTGACTGAAAGTAGTCTGTACCGGTATTTATGATGCCTTTTTTGTTTCAGATGTTTGCATCTCGCTTCACAGCTTACTTCAGGAGAAAATGTGTAGCTGTCACTGATGAGCGTGTCCAGAAAATGAATGAAGTTCTCAATTACATTAAGTTCATTAAAATGTATGCCTGGGTCAAAGCCTTCTCCCAGAATGTTCAAAGTGAGTGCCAGTTTTCTTTCTTGTTGTCCATTGTAGATAGTAAAGGTAAAAGTTTCCCTTGACATTAAGTCTAGTTGTGTCCAACTCTGGGGGGTGGTGCTCTTCTCCATTTCTAAGCTGAAGAGCTGGTGTTGTCCGTAGATGCCTCCAAGGTCATGCGGCCAACACGACTGCATGGAGCGCCATTACCTCCCTGTCAGAGCAGTACCTATTGATCCACTCACATTTGCATATTTTTTGAACTGCTAGATTGGCAGAAGCAAGGCTAACAGTGGGGGCTCATCCCGCTCCCCAGATTCAAATGGCCAACTTTTTGACCAGTAAGTTCAGGAGCTCAGCAGTTTAACCTGCTGTGCCACTGCAGGGCCCATTATAGATACTTTCCTGTTAATTCTTCACAAAATATGTGGAACTGAAAACAACATACAGCAAACATTCTTTTTTCAGAGCATCCTAAATAAAAAATGAGAAATTAGTCACTTTTAAAAATTATAGCGTACTTGCATGACTGTCCTAAGTTAAAGGAGTCTATTCACTTTTGTGATTTATCTTAAGGTGACTCAATGCTATGTTAGTGATTTAAAGCTATAAAATGAAATCTTATTCTTTGCTCTTGATATATGCAAAGACACCTTATTTATTTGCTTCATTTATATACCCTGCCTTTCTCACCCCCATAGAGGGACTCAAGGTGGCTGTCAGGACCCAGAAGCCTTAATTAGAGCCAAACACAAAATAAGAGTTCAAACACAGCTTTATTGTACAAAAATAGTCTTTCAAAGCACTTAACTTCAGTGCAAAGAGTCCCAGGAGTAATTTGGCATCAAAAATAAAGCGATACCAGTAACAAAAATATAACCCGGATTATAGCGCTGCTTTATAATCCGGATTAAACTCAAAGTTAAGAAAATCGCTTGAAAGTTGGTATAGCACAAAAACACAGTCACAGAAGATGGAAAAACGAAGTCCCAAAGCGAGGAATTGTTGAAGCACAGAGTTATAAGAGTTCAAAGTCCAGAAAGCCAAAAACAGTAGTCAAACCGGTCCGTGGTCAAGCCATTGGTAAACAAAYGCTGGAATGCAGGAATCACCGAGGAACAGGAATTCAGGAACACACAAAGCTGTAGCCCAAGGACCCAAATGTAAGAGTTGGCAGTACAAAGAGTTATGTCCAATAAAGRTGCTTTACCTTCTGCAAAGTATCATGCAAACAGAGCCCACTTTTATCTCAAAGTTCCTCATCATAGCTTGATGAGCTCCCCACCCTTTCCTCATTGCTCTCAGCTGCCCCCAACCCTGCAGCTGAATCCAAGCATCCATCCCTCCACTTCTGCCAGTGTCTGCTAAGACTTAGATCCTGCCAAGAGGTCCCTGGCTGCCAATCCTCAGTGAACCCCTCAAATTCCTCACTGGAGGTGGGTTGGTTACAAATGTCCCTTATTTGTTGCACACGGGTCCAATCTAATCCCTCCTCTTCCATATCACTCCCAGACCCAGAACTCCTTTCAAACCCCAGGAAGTCCTCATCCTCTGTTGGTGTACTAAGTATTTCCCGGATGCGCTTCCTCTGCAATTCCCCTTTGGACTCCGGATCGCGAGCAGCCCTCTTTACACCTCTGCTCTCCTCCCCATCCCCCATTTCACAATCCGAGAAGCCTTGAAACGTGTCAGTATCACTTGGGGCCATAATGATTTCCCTAATGCACTTTTGCTGTTGTTCTCCCTCCGACTCCTGAGCAGACCTTTTCTCCCTGCTACCAGGAGTAGCAACGCTACCAACATGCTGAACTACAACAGTGGCTTACAACTCCGGCAAGGTTCAATGCCGCTTAAACATAGCCATAATTCCTATCCCATAAACGAAAAACAGTTAAAACAGTAACCAAATAAAATACATAGAATAATAATAGAGAAAAACATACAAAGCTTAGATAATTTTATTTTGTTTTTATATAAGTTGTGGGTTTTGCATTTATTTACAATACTGTATATTCTGAAGGAGCAATTGGAGAATTCCTTGAATGTGCTGCTATGAGCCTCACGTGTGCTCTGTATTTTCAGAAATTAGAGAAGAAGAACGCAAAATCTTGGAACGTGCAGGATACTTCCAGAGCATCACAGTGGGAGTGGCACCCATCGTAGTGGTGATTGCCAGCGTAGTGACTTTTTCTGTCCATATGGTTCTTGGCTATGACCTCACTGCAGCCCAGGTAACTTTGCATAAAGATAGGTGGTATTAACTTCACATGTGTGACTTTGCAGAAGCCTCGTCCTTGTCATTTTCATTCTTTGAGCTGCATCCAGATCATCATTATAATATAAAGAATATATATTTCTGCCTGAGATATTTTATTGCTGCACTGATATTGTTTGAAGGCATGCAGAATTATGACTCATATTTTATTTGGCAAAAATCTTACTCAGTAATTTGTTGAGTTTCCAGTTTTCAGTCCCTACTGTTTGATTCTTGCATGGAAAGGGAATCTGCTGACATTTTTTTTAAAAAGGATGGAATGAGTGCAGTTATGATCTCTCTCTTCTATATTTTTTCCATTGACCAGCAAAATTGTAAAGTACCTAGATATTTGCTCCAGATACAGTTAGCAACTGGTTAGGACTCAGAAGCAATCTGTCCTCTTCTCACTGCCCTATTTAGAACCTTTTTGGACCAAAAATTATCTTACATGATGCGAAGTTGCTTCTAACTGTGAGAGAAATAAGGTTGAACACTGTGAAAGCCATCCACTGCATGGCTATCAGCCTCTTCCCAGTAGACTCAGATCAAGGAAAAGCTTCATGAGAACCTTAATGTTCCCTCAGCAACAGCAAGAGTGTCTCTCTGGGCAGCTAAACCAGGAAATCCCAACTGGATGCCCCCCCCCCCCCCCCGAGGCTCTGTCTCCAGGAGCAAACCAAGAATGGGTAACTTGGAAGTCTCTGAACAGACTCAGAAGTGGAGTGGGCAGATTAAAAGATAACCTGGCAAAATGGCACTACCTAGAAGAATCATAGAATCATAGAGTTGGTAGAGACCTCATGGGCCATCCAGTCCAACGCCATTCTGCCCAGAAGCAGGAATATTGCATTCAAAGCACCCCTGATAGATGGCCATCCAGCCTCTGTTTAAAAGCCTCCAAAGAAGGAGCCTCCACCACACTCCAGGACAGAGAGTTCCACTGGTGAACAGCTCTCACAGTCAGGAAGTTCTTCCTCATGTTCAGATGGAATCTCCTTTCTTGTAGTTTGAAGCCATTGTTCCGTGTCCTAGTCTCCAGGGCAGCAGAAAACAAGCTTGCTCCCTCATCTCTGTGACTTCCTCTCACATATTTATACATGCCTGTCTTCATGTCGGCTCTCAGCCTTCTCTTCTTCGGGCTAAACATGCCCAGCTCCTTAAGCCACTCCTCATAGCACTTGTTCTCCAGACCCTTGATCATTTTAGTTGCCCTCCTCTGGACAAATTCCAGCTTGTCAATATCTCTCTTCAATTGTGGTGCCCAGAATTGGACACAATATTCCAGGTGTGGTCTAACCAGAGCAGAATAGAGGGGTAGCATTACTTCCCTAGATCTAGACACTATGCTCCTATTGATGCAGGCCAAAATCCCATTGGCTTTTTTTGCTGCCACATCACATTGTTGGCTCATGTTTAGCTTGTTGTCCACGAGGACTCCAAGATCTTTTTCACACGTACTGCTCTCGAGCCTGGCCTCGTCCCCCATTCTGTATCTTTGCATTTCGTTTTTTCTGCCTAAGTGGAATATCTTGCATTTGTCACTGTTGAACTTCATTTTGTTATGTTGCAGTCAAAGGTATTTCATTGTGTTTCAGGCTTTTACAGTGGTTACTGTGTTCAATTCAATGACCTTTGCTCTGAAAGTTACTCCTTTTTCTGTGAAGTCTCTTTCTGAAGCATCTGTTGCAATTGATAGATTTAAGGTGAGTATTCATCTTACTGTGGCTCATTCTTGCGGGTGGGAGCATTTGTATGTGGAAATAGCTCTTGAGATAGTGATATGCTAAGCCTCTTACTATTTCCTTAGCTAATTTTGTAGCAGGGCCAGTGAAGTCTATGCCTGATTCTTGAAACTTTAAAAGCTTAGCTATTTGAGTATAATATTGGGTCAGCCACTAAAACATTCACTTCTTCTTGTTCAATAGAATTGTCTCCCCAGATTTCAGAGTTGTTATAATGTAAACCTTTAGAGTTTGAAAATAGGACAGTATGTGAAACATATATGTGCAGGTCTCTTGATGCCAGACTAAAACAGACAGGTGACCCTGAAAGAGTTTGAGGAGCAAAGTCTTTCCAGTTTTCAAATAACATGTATTGACGAAGGCTTTCATGGCCGGAATCACTGGGTTGTTATTATTATATATCTGTGGTATGACCAGGGTGGGACAAACTACTCTTGTCTGTTGGAGCTAGGTGTGCATGTTTCAACTGACCACCTTGATTAGCATTTGATGGCCTGGCAGTGCCTCGGGCAATCTTTTGTTGAGAGGTAATTTTAATACTGGCTACTAGTATTAAAAAACTCTAAAATTACAGCAGCAAAACAACAGAGAGGAAACAATCAAGGACATCTAATCACCTCTCAACAAAAGATTGCCCCAGGCACTGCCAGGCCATCAAATGCTAATCAAGGTGGCCAGTTGAAACATTCACACCTAGCTCCAACAGACAAGGGTCCTTCGTCCCACCCTAGACATTCCACAGATATATAAACCCATTTTCCTAGTTCCAACAGACCTCACTACCTCTGAGGATGCTTGCCATAGATGCAGGTGAAACATCAGGAGAGAATGCCTCTAGAACATGGTCATATAGCCCGAAAAAACCTACAACAACATGTATTGACTTCCTTGCTCCAGGATCCCTGGGAATTGTAGAGAATTCTGGGTAATTTCTAAAGTGTGTGGTCCATTTATTTATTTATTTACATTACTACCCCACCTTTCTCCATCTCGCAGGGGACTCAAGGCGGCTGACACATAGGGAACTTTTTTTTTGTCATGTCAGGAGCGACTTGAGAAACTGCAAGTCGCTTCTGGTGTGAGAGAATTGGCCGTCTGCAAGGACGTTGCCTAGGGGACATTGCCCGCATGTTTTGATGTTTTAATCATCCTTGTGGGAGGCTTCTCTCATGTCCGTGCATGAGGAGCTGAAGCTGATAGAGGGAGCTCATCCGCCTCTCCCCGGATTCGAACTTGCAACCTGTCGGTCTTCAGTCCTGGCGGCACAGGGGTTTAACCCACTGCGCCACCGGGGGCTCCACATAGGTAATGATTTGATGCCATAAAACAATGTATAATTAAAATAAACATTTAAATAGAATTATAAAATACATTAAAACAATTTAAAACATTTAAGACCACACCTTCACAATTAAATCACGTAATTCTCAAGCATATTACCAGTCTCTTAGCCAAGTTATTTTCCCAAGTAAGTTGAGAAAGCTTTTCAGATCACAAACAGGAAAACAGCTGAATACTGCACATTCCCTTTCCATTTTGTTCCTTTGAGCTTGCAGATATTTGTGTCCCATTTCTTGCAATTCCTAGACTAGCCAATGCCCAGCCTTTCCCCCTCTGGGAGAATACATTATTAACAGAATAACCTAGCCAGGGCTTCCTGAAGAGGAAAGGAAATTGATTTATGCTTAAACACAGGCCTGGGCAAACTTGGTCCCTCCAGGTGTTTTGGACTTCAACTCCCACAATTCGTAACAGCCTTCCAGCTGTTAGGAATTATGGGAGTTGAAGTCCAAAACACGTAGAGGGCTCAAGTTTGCCCAGGACTTATTCAATGAATAAACAGGCTTAGATTTTAAAACTTGTGCCATTTATTTATTTATTATTTATTTCGGTTGCTTCTACCCCGCCCTTCTCACCCTGGGGGGGGGGGGACTCAGAGCGGCTTACAAAGGCGAGGCACAATTCGATGCCCGCATCACATAACAGCAAAAGACAATAACATCAGTTAACAAAGACAGCAATTCTAGCAATAACAACAATTAACAGAAACAATAATCATTATAGGCAAAACAACCATAAAACCAATAAAAGCAATAAAACCAATACAAACCTCATTGACGGTCAGTGTTCCACACTCTCATAGTTTAAATTCCAATTCCACAATTGTCAGTCCTGTCAGTCCTAGTCGTTTGATTGTCCTTATCTAGCTGTCAGATTGCCCAAAGGCCTGGTCCCACAACCACGTCTTTACCTTCCTCCTGAAGGCGAGGAGGGATGTTGATGCCCTAATTTCCCCCGGGAGTGAGTTCCACAGGTGAGGGGCCACCACTGAGAAGGCCCTGCTCCTCGTCCCCACCAGCCTCACTTGTGATAGCGGTGGGTCGAGAGCAGGGCCTCCCCAGATGATCTCAGACTCTGGGGTGGGACATAGAGGGAGATACGTTCGGACAGATACACTGGACCGGAACCGTAAAGGGTTTTGTAGGTCAAAACCAGCACTTTGAATTGTGCTCGGAATTGAACCGGCAGCCAGTGGAGCTGACACAACAGGGGGGTGGTGTGCTCTCTGTATGTCGCTCCGCTAAGCAATCTGGCTGCTGCTCGCTGGACCAGTTGAAGTTTCTGAACAGTCTTCAAGGGCAACCCCACGTAGAGTGTGTTGCAGTAGTAGAGTAGAGTGCGTTGAACGTAGAGTGCGTTGAACATGCAGGAATTATGCTGGCAAATAATTTAATCATGCCATTTCAGCTACTTCTAAAACAAAGCATTTAAGAGACAAGGGGAGCTATTTTTAAAATGTTTTAAAAGAAAAACATAGGTGACAAAGGAAGACAGATAGTTCTATGATGTTAAAGTTTGGGAAGCAATTCCTATAATTGTTTCTGTGTTGGGAGTCAGTCAGGGAAGGAGTTACTTTCTTGGAAATACTGTTGTAACTAAGTAGCAACTATTTTGTCTTTTGTTTTTCTTTGCAAACTGTGACAGGCATTGCAATACTTTCTGAAAATGTTTCTGAATAGATGGATGTGGTGGAAAAACATGATATGGAGCCTCTGCATTTTAAACAGTGCTGTCCTGACTCCAGGCTTGCTGACGAGAAATTGTTAGATCCAAAGGGAATAGAATTTAGCTTGCTAAAGATATTATTCCATCTCTTTAAGCCTTGCATTGTTTCTAATGAGCAGTTTTTCCTCTGCTTCCTCCCTTGCCTAATTTGACTTCCAAACAAGTGAGTTAAAAAGGACTAGCAATAAGCTTATGTTATGTCCAAGCCTGCGTCCACAGTATGGTAGCTCTGCAGAAGTCTCTCTGTCTGAGAACCACCACATCCATGGATATCCAGGTTCTTTTCTGGACCTGGAGTTAGTTTTCACTAATGAGCTACGTTTTGCTCTTCAGCTTCCTCCCACTGTATAGCCTGAGTGTTTTGCTGCGTGAGTGTGCCGTAGGCTTGTGTCCCCCCCTCAGTCTTGACCTGGTGTCTCATCTTTGCACCTCTCTCACAACTCCTATCAGAGTTTGTTTCTAATGGAAGAGGTTCATATGGTAAAGAAAAAGCCAGCCAATCCTCACGCAGCCATAGAGGTGAAAAATGCCACCTTGGCATGGGAATCCTCCCATGCTAGTGTCCAGAGCTCACCAAAGATGACCCCTAAAATGAAAAAAGACAAGATGGCTAAGAGCAAGAAAGAGAATGCGAAGCTAGAGGAGCATGAAGGACAGCAGGAGATGCTCGCTGAACAGAAGGACCACCTCTTAGTGGACAGCAATGACCCCCCAAGTCCTGAGGAGGAAAAGAAGCACATCCAGCTGTCAAATGTCCGACTTCAGAGGACGCTGTATAATGTTGACCTTGAAATTGAGAAGGTGAGGAGAGAAAACACTCTTTTGGCTCAGATTTGTCCTAGAATAATGGAATACTATCCTGTCACTGTCATGTCATAGTTTATTCGATGCTTAGACCATAGGTCTTTCACATACAAGGCAAGGCAAATAAATAAATACATGAACACCAGATTATTAAATACAATATAAAATACACAATAAAATCCTATAAATCATTAAAATGCTACATATCGATGCACCTTTAAAATACCACATAATGTATAGACTCATACCTGCGTAATTAAAAACCAAGTAAAAACAAATAGATACAGCATTCTTAAAACTACATAAACAGCCACTATTAGTTGAAAGCATCCCCAGCACAGTCAACTGCAATATCAGAGATTAGTTTTGCCCGGATTTTCTGTGCTGCCAAGGCAAAACGAGACACCTTGTGAGTAACCACGGGGTTAGTGCCAGCCAAGAGATAGAAAATCTTTTCAGACACAGTGTTGGTCTGAAGGAGGTGAAGAATAAACCCCAGGATTTTGGTTCTTGGATCAGAATACAAAGGGCAGAAAAGCAAATAGTGAGGCAGATCCTCAATTTCCGGGGCCCCGCAAACACAAACAAAGAGCCAGAGGGGTGGAATACTACGTCTTGCCTTTAAGTTGCACGGAATTACTGATGGTTAGAGTTGCTGTCATTACTTTATTCATTTATGTTCCCCTGTTGTCATAAAAATTGGCCTCAAAGTATCATATATACTCAAAGATAAACTGAGTTTTTCAGCCCTTTTTTGGGTCTGAAAAGCCTCTCTCGGCTTATAATGGGGTCATGCTGGGCAGCGGAGCCTGGAGGCCGTTGCAGTGCAATATATGATATATTTCTCTTCCTCCCTTAACAGTGTGTTTTCTTTTCCAAATCCTCCCTTGCTCTCTCAAGAGGGAGAGAAACCCTTGCAAGTCAGGGATATCAATCTTATAAAAGCATTTCCCCCTAAATATTTGTTAATCTCTCCTACAGATATATAGGCATTTCCCCCTGCAAGCCTTTGCAATCCCTATATACCTAACATATCTGTATCTATCTATATATCAATTTTATATATGAATTTCCCCCCTCACATGTTTGCAAGTCTTTGCAAATCCTATTTAGATATAGATATCGATAAATATATAGAGATACCTATATCTCTCTGTGTGTATGTATATGTATATGTGTATATATATAAAAATAATTTTATATATGAATTTCCCCTCACATGTTTTCAAGTCTTTGCAAATCCAATATAGATATAATTACCTATATATAGAGACATGCCTAGATAGATGTATATGAATATAGATATATAGGGCTTGCAAAGATTACCGGAGAAATGCATGTATAGAGAGAGGATTTGCAAACGTTTCAGAGGAAATGCATATGTGAAATTAGTATATATCATTATAGATCTATATCTAGCTCTGTATTGTTTGTATAGGCATTGAGTGTTTGCCTGTTACTATTTTGGAAGCCAGCCTGAGTCCCCATGGGGAGATAGGGCTGGATGCAAATGAAGTTGTTGTTGTTGTTATTTGTTGCACTCCAGGCCAGGAAGAAGCCCTCTGACTTAAAACACCACACAGCTGAGTAAAAACGCAAGCAGTTTATTGTAGGTAATTTAAAAAGCATTAGCAGTAAAACACTCCAAAGAAATAGGTAAATCCAAGTAGGAAGAAAGATAAGCAGGAACAAATAATCCAGGAAATAAATCCATCAAAGTACATGCAAAAACCCAAAACAGAAACTCCAGATCATGAAATCAAACAAGGTATAACTTGAATCTTTCCAAGGCAAGACCTGCAAGATTCGCCACTACGTCTTGATCCAGTTCCAAACATTGCTTCGTCTGACCACAGATTCTGTACTTGGCCCTTCTATCCCCTAATCTACTCTAAATCCCTGCCAGAATCTTGTTTATGACTAGGGTTGTTTTAGTGCCGGGCAGCAAACTTATTTTCAGCACTTTGGCACAATTAAATATTTTTAACTTTGTAGAAATAAGCATGTAGTGATATGACTACCAGGGACACTTGTGTGTGCTAGCACATTTCAAAATCTGGTTTAGTTCGGTCACCTTTTTCTTCCAAATTAAGTATGCATATGATTGTGCTGTTAGTCTAGTGTTGCTTTCCTTTTTAGAACCAGATACTTTGCAACTCAAGTGTAGATGATTTTGACAGCGGGTCACTGAGCGTAATGTGGTTGGGCTAAACCTAAAACTACATAATACAAATCTAGTTCTAAACTTGGGTAATATAAATTGTCCCTGCCTCTCTATTGTGCAATCTAATATTATTTGATAGGTTTCTTTTCCAATTCATTAACACATTTCAGTTATTATGCACTTAACCAGGATGAAATATGTATTTCTTGTGTGACAGTGTTTCTTTCCATTGTCTAATCTAGGGGAAACTTGTTGGCATTTGTGGCAGCGTGGGGAGTGGGAAAACGTCACTTATTTCAGCCATTTTAGGACAGGTGAGAGATATTGATTTAGCTCCTAACTGAAAGTTATTTCTGATTCTCTTGCTTTTCTTCCACAAGGCAAACTGAAGCTCTTTGTGCCCATCTGCTCTGCCAGCAGCTACATCTTGTATCATGGGCCTTTAGCCCACATGATAAATAATTAATTTGACCTCAGATCATAAAATGCAGTGAAGCGGGTCATACTTAAGATCTTAAAATGTCTTAAATTGGTGTTGGGTTGGCTTTGCATGCCAGAAAGGTGGTGAGGGAGGGAAGGAGGAAATTACACGATTGGGTAGTGGATTCATTGTAAATTTCTGCATTTTGTTCCAGATGACTCTGCTGGAAGGCAGCATTTCTGTTGATGGAACATTTGCCTACGTTGCACAACAAGCATGGATTCTCAATGCAACACTTAGAGACAATATCCTATTTGGAAAGGAGTTTGAGGAAGAAAGGTTTGTAACCTCCAGTGTGTTGACTTATGGCTAGTATGCATTGGTACAGCTACTTAATAGAACTTTGATACTGCAAATATACAAAGAAGAAGAATTGCAGCACACTTGGTTTTTTTTGTCTCTGAGACTGTCTGAAGGCTATATAAATTGTTAAAGTCCACCTGAGATTTTGAAAACACTGTGTTTTTAATGTGTTGTCTAAATTTTCATGGCCTGAATCACTTCTTTGCTGTGTGTTTTCTGGGCAGTATAGCCATTTTCCAGAAGCATTCTCTCCTGACGTTTCATCCACATCTATGGAAAGCATCCTCAGAGATTGAGGGATCTGTGGGGTTTATATATCTGTGGAATAATCAGGGTAGGAGAAAGAACTCTTGTTTGTTAGAGGCAAGTGTGAATGTTGGAATTCATCACCTTGATTAGCTTTGAATAGCCTTGCAGCTTCAAGGCTTGGCTTCTTCCTGCCTGAGGAAATCTTTTGATGGGAGGTGATTAGCTGGCCCTGACTGTTTCTTGTCTGGAAGTCATAGAATCGTAGAATCGTAGAATCAAAGAGTTGGAAGAGACCTCATGGGCCATCCAGTCCAACCCCCTGCCAAGAAGCAGGAATGTTGCATTCAAATCACCCCTGACAGATGGCCATCCAGCCTCTGTTTAAAAGCTTCCAAAGAAGGAGTCTCCACCACAAGTCCCCTTTTTTGAGTGGTGTTCTTTATTTACTGTCCTGATTTTAGCATTTTTTAAAATACTGATAGCCAGATTTTGTTCATCTTCATGGTTTTCTCCTTTCTGTTGAAATTGTCCACATGCTTGTGGGTTTCAGTGGCTTCTCTGTGTAGCCACGAAAATGTGGGTGAGACATCAGGAGAGAATGCTTCTGGATCCTGGCCATACAGCCAGGAAAACACATAGCAACCCTATGTTTTTAATGCTATATGGTACAATAAAATATTGCAATCTGTTCCCGGAGGGTTTGAAGATAATAAACTGTCCAGAGGAATCTGGGGAGGAAAAAGGGCTGCAAAATAGCCTTCCTGTTTCTTCATGGCTGCACTTTGCTCACCCTTGTTGGGCAGCCACTGTATATTTGCATAGCAGTGTAAATCATGAATCATTAACTAGGCGTTCTGCCTCGGCTGGCCTCTACAGGTTTCTGCCTTTGGTGTACATTTTCCTCAGCTCTTAACGCAGGCTTGATCCCCTTTGTATGTAACCGTAAACCAGGATTGAACATTACTTAACAAAAGTTCTGGGAGACCAGACAAAATCTCAGTCTCACATACCTCTTCTTCCCATGTGACTGGCAGGAATCCCTAACCTTTTAGATTCATTGACTTTGATTCCTAGTGTTGTAGATCTGCCAGAGGCTGATGGGTTACCTGATGATTTAGAGAGGATTGTGGGCTTTCCCGTGGCACAAACTTATGGGCTCTCAAATCTGGAAATTTTAGGTCTGGGATATGATGTTTCTCTCTGTGAGATTAAGTGGCTCAGAAAGTGCAGGTCCTCAAGGCCAGTCCGAGGAGTCAGAAGTAGCAACAGCAGATAAGGAATTGAGTGAAGAGCTGAATGATAAGGAGGGTTCCCAGGAGTAATCACCTGTAGCTATGAAGATCAACAAAAGTTTACAAATCAGAGCCGAAAATGGATTGTGCCAGTCTGAGAGATTATGTGGGAAAGTTGGGAAGAAAATTCATGGGAGACATAATGCTTTCATGGGTGTCTATTCAATAACAAGTTGTTTACTTTAAGGGCAGTTCAGGCAACGCTGCGTTAGAGTGAGAAGCTAAGCCCGAGTTCTCTTGTTCATGTTTCAAGTCAAGCCTTGGTTTTGGATTTTAATATCCTGGAAGTTTTCTATGTTCCTGTTCATTTACTCCTGTTAAAGTTTTAACTAGTTATACCTTCTTACTTGTGAACTTATGCTGTACCTGTGATTTCTGGCTGTTTCTGGACTTTATCACCTTTGGAACTTTAAGAGACATTTGGATTATTGTTTGGTTATCACCTGTTGCTAAATCTTTTTGGATTATATGTCTTTCTTTCTTATTCTTATGGGTTTTATGTGTTTTACAATAAACTGCTTATATTCCTGGACACTTGTGTGGTGCGATGGTCATAGGTGTTTCCAACTGGAAGTCTAACTAAATGTAGTAAAAGTCACCTTCCAGGCTACCTAGGAAGAAAGTAGGGCCAAAATATATGAACCTGAGAATCTGCTTAGTCTTGGAGGGATTTAAAATCTGGAGTAATGCAAGATATGAACCAGTGAAATATTTTAGCACTGCAAATGCAGTTGAGCTTGCTAAGCATTTTAATTAATCATCTTTCATAGCCATTTGTTTTGCCTGTCAGGTCTCTGTTGTGTGAATACTTTAGATAAGTGGCTGTAAGTTGTTTACACGGTCACAACACTGTTTGTTGAAAGGACATAATTGTCTAACATGGATATTATTATTATTATCTTTCATTAATTGATTTTGCTGAAACATTGTTATGACAATGTATTGTCGAAGGCTTTCATGGCTGGAATCACTAAGTTCTTGTGGGTTTTTTCGGGCTATATGGCCATGTTCTAGAGGCATTCTCTCCTGACGTTTCGCCTGCATCTATGGCAAGCATCCTCAGAGGTTGCTTCTGAGGATGCTTGCCATAGATGCAGGCGAAACGTCAGGAGAAATGCCTCTAGAACATGGCCATATAGCCCGAAAAAACCCACAAGAACTTTTATGACACTCTGAAACTATGCTGTTTTTTTCATATGAAGCCAGAAAAATGCATATGTTGCTACTCTTACATCTTACTTTTTGCCCTCAGATATAATACTGTCTTGAATAACTGCTGTCTCAGACCTGATCTGGCTATCCTGCCAAATGGGGACATGACAGAGGTAGGAATTGTGCATGACAGTTGTGATCTTGCATTCTACGAAGGATTTGATTAGCAAGAGGAGGTCATATTTGGGAACTAATAAAGAGCTTCTCTTGCGTTTTGCAAATGTCACTACTAAATTTTGGCTCCGGAGTGTAATCAGTATTGCAATATTGTTGTTGTTCATTTTGGTATTTGATCTGGGACAGGTTGAGTCTCCCTTATCTGACACACTTGGGACCAGAAGTGTTTTGGATTTTGGAATATTAGCATTTGAGATGAGATATTTTGGAGTCTAAACATGCTGCATATACACCTTATTCCTATAGTCTGAAGGCAATTTTGCACATGATATTTGCAATAATTTTGTGCATGAATAAAGTTTGTGTACACTATCTCAGCCACCCATGTGGACAGTTTTGGATTTTGGAGCATTTTGGGTTTCTAGCTAAGACATACATACCCTGTATATTGCATTAAAGCTGGTATAAAGATTGGAATAACCAAACATATATACCCACAAACAGTTTTAATCTGTGATCGTGTACCACTCTGTCCCAGCTTGAGTGAATATTGAATGTGGTGTGATATTTGTCCTGAAATGACCCTCATTTCAGTGTTCTGGTTTGTTGGCCAAACCATACTGTGTTTTAAATGCAATTACTGCTTTTTAAAATGGCTATTCATCCTTTATAAACAGGATGCCATTTCAATATTTCATACTGTTTTAATGAACTGTAATCCCCTTGGTACCTGTGCCAGGAGAAAGCTGGCAAATATATTCTATTTTTTGAATATTTTAAGCTGCCTTGAGAAGCTCTTTTTAGCTTAGCTTTAGCTTAGAGATTTTATATTCCGCCCTTCTCACCCCGCAGGGGACTCAGGGCGGATTACAGTGTACACATATATGGCAAACATTCAATGCCAATTTTGACATACAACATAGACAGACATACACAGAGTCTATTTAACTTTTTCTGACCGCCAGGGGAGCTGTCGCTTTCATCGTCCATCTGCGACACTGATGAACTACTTCCGCATTCCCCGCATGCTTTTTGCTGGAGTGCTTCATAAATGGCCTCATAAATTAGTTAATTTAGCCTCCCCACACTTTAAGGTGGTACCTAGTTTTCCTACTTGACAGATGCAACTGTCTTTCGGGTTGCAAAGGTCAACAACAGGCTACACAATTGGTTGGAAACCCACTCCAACCCGAGCTGGCTTCGAACTCATGACCTTTTGGTCAGAGTGATCTTAATGCAGCTGACACTCAGCCAGCTGCGCCACAGTCCCGGTGCTCTTGCCTTTGAAGACTTTCTAACAGGCCTGCACCATTTGTGGCCCTCCAGGTGTTTTGGACTTCATCTCCTAGAATTCCTGACCATTGAAACAACTGGCTAGGGATTCTGGGAGTTGGAGGCCAAAACACCCGGAGGGGCACAGATTGTGCAGGCCTTCTCTGTCACAACATTACATATTAATAATTCCCAGGGATGTGTAAGGCCATTTTGTATTATACTTAAACTGTTTGTGTGGTGTAAGATGCCTTTAAGACACAGCCTCTTGTAAATACAGCTGCAGTGTATTTATATTGGAGGCAGTGTTTGGAAAGCGGTTTCTCAGACAATGCTTTGGAAGTAAACTATGAATGGAATAAACTACTACCCTACAAGATACTGGGCTCTAATGGGTTGTGAGTCTGTCCACTGATGGTTTAACAACGAACATTACAGTTTGATTTACATATAAAGACTCCAGTTCCTGTTTGGTATCCATCCCTGAAGCTCACTGAGTGAGCAAAACTGATCTATTGATCTCATTGGGAGCCTCTGGTGTCGCAGTGGGTTAAACCCTTGAGCCGGCAGGACTGAAGACCGACAAGTCGCAGGTTCGAATCCGGGGAGAGCGTGGATGCGCTCCCTCTATCAGTTCCAGCTCCTCATGCGGGGACATGAGAGAAGCCTCCCACAAGGATGGTAACCCATCAAAAACATGTGGGCGTACCCTGGGCAACATCCTTGCAGATGGCCAATTCTCTCACACCAGAAGCAACTTGCAGTTTCTCAAGTCGCTCCTGACACGACAAAAAAAAATGGGTTAGAGGTACAGCTGATATTTTTAATGGCATGGCAAGTTGCATATGCAAGGTATTGTGTATGACCGAAAAATATAAACCGGTGATATAAAAATAAGCCTTTTAACCAAGTTTATTTAATGTAGATTGGTGAACGAGGTGCAAACCTGAGTGGGGGCCAACGCCAGAGGATCAGCCTTGCTCGAGCCTTATACAGCGACAAGGACATTTACATCCTTGATGACCCCCTCAGTGCCTTGGATGCCCATGTTGGAAACCACATCTTCAACAGTGCAATACGAAAACATCTGAAGTCGAAAACAGTTTTGTTTATCACGCACCAGCTACAGGTAAAATAATGCTCCCCAACCATTTTCATACACCTATGGGGCTTGAGTGGTGGTAACTATTAATTTGCATAGCCAAAATTGCCTTTTAGTTTACAAAGAGGGGTGGGGATGGAGTGGGATGCAGCTTACCTTTACTATAAGAGCATTAGTGTAGCCAAGAGAGCAAGAAAATAAAGGTGAAATAAAAACTATTTCCAGAGCTCCTGGTGGCGCAGTGGGTTAAAGCACTGAGCTGCTGAGCTTGTTGATCGAAAGGTCATAGGTTCGGCGTGAGCTTCCGCTGTCAGCCCTAGCTTCTGCCAACCTAGCAGTTCGAAAACGTGCAAATGTGAGTAGATCAATAGGTACTGCTCCGACGGGAAGGTAACGGTGCTCCATGCAGTCATGCTGGCCACATGACCTTGGAGGTGTCTACGGACAACGCCGGCTCTTCGGCTTAGAAATGGAGATGAGCACCACACCCCAGAGTCAGACATGACTGGACTTAATGTCAGGGAACAACCTTTACTAAAAACTATATCAAGAACATTAACAACTGTAATTGTAAGTACAGCTGCATTGGAGATGTAAGAAAGCAGAGTAAAAACTAGGGTTGGTAGTGGGGATTCTTCTTCCCAAGGAGAGACTGCAGAAGTTGCATGTTCTTTAGTTCAGAAAAATCTCTTGGTTTATAAAACAAGAAATTACCCCAAAAGCTCAAGAATCTGTGGGGGGTTTTTTTGGTTTGGTGACATTGATTGGCTTGGGGAAAGAGATGGTTGCACATCTTTGTGTGATATATGACCTACTAAGGGGACAATTGCATTCTGGTATTGTGATAACTGGTGGCATAATGGAAATGGAAATGGGGGGGGGGGGCAGGTTGTTGTTTGGGCACACCACATAATAAGTGTACTTCTCCCTGTCATCGGTCTTCAGTACCTTGTGGATTGTGATGAAGTGATTGTCATGAAAGAAGGCTGCATCACCGAGAGGGGAAGCCACGAGAATCTGATGAATTTGAATGGTGACTATGCAACCATTTTCAACAATCTGCAACTCGGGGAGACTCCACACATCGAGGTGCTTAACTATTCCTCCCTGTTTCTATACAGTGATTTTCCATTGTGATATACCCTTTAAATCTGCATCCATATTATAAGTGAAATGACAGCAAAGTGAAATTACAAGGATTATAGTAAAAGAACACATATAAGAAGATGAAGTTTCTAAATCTGTTATGGGCAAACTTTTATTATTTATTTATTTATTTATTTCTTGCATTTATTGACCGCCCCTCTCAGCCCAAGGGCGACTCGGGGCGGTGAACAACAACATAACACACAGACGACAGCGTACAGTGAATCATGACAATACAAACCAAACAGATACCACATAACATATACTTATACTAAAAATCCGCTTCGTCAAGTCCTGGGGTCATAGCCAAATTCGTAGTCCTAGTTCATTCCATTGTCATTCAATACACTCAGTTGAAGGCCTGCTCGAAGAGCCATGTTTTTAGGCCCCTACGAAAGGCCATCAAAGAAGGCGCCTGTCTAACTTCAGCAGGGAGGGTGTTCCACAGCCGGGGGGCCACCCTCCAGGTGTTTTGGACTTCAACTCCCACAATTCCTAACAGCCGGTAGGCTGTTAGGAATTGTGGGAGTTGAAGTCCAAAACACCTGGAGGGCAAAAGTTTGCCTATGCCTGTTTTGGATGGCGTGATTTTAATAACTTATGTTGTTTAACAGGTGGGTTTTAATACAAATGCTACTGTATTATTAATATTTTAATTTTATGTTTATGTTCTAATGTCGTTCTGTGTTTTATGTTTAATACGGTTATGTTTTTAATTTATAGTTATATATTATTGTCTAGTTCTATGTCTTGGTCTTCCCATGTATGTACGGCATTGAATTTTGCCATTATTATGTTGGAATTTTGCCATTATTATGTTGGAATTTTGCCACTGTTATGCTTTGAATCCCCTCAGGAGGAAAAACATGGTATATAAATCCAGTAAATAAATAATGAATAGCAGCAACTAGACTGCTGTACTTTTAATGCTTATTCAGAAGCAGCTCTTGCTTGCCACATAGTTAGTTAATAAGCAAAACCTGCTGAAATTCCCTATTTATTATTAAAATTTCAGGAGCCGTCTTTAGTATTAATCTGGCCACCTACATGAGAGTTACTGGAACTCTTGGTCTTCACAATTAATCTGTTGGGGATTTATGTCTTCATAAGTGGGACATCTGTAGAAGTTATAATTGGGCAGTTTCGTAAAGTTTGTATACAATGAAGGGCTTCTGTTAAGTTACTACATGGCGAAGCCAGCTTCACTTTATTTGTGCATCTCGATATGCACTAAGGAATACAACTATGTATGAGGACGCTCTTACTAGTGTCCTGTAATTCGTCTTCTCTATTCACTGACAGAAGAGCCGGGCTTTAGCACAGCTGGTTAATCACCAGCAGCAATAGATCTTACCAATTGAAAGGTTGGCAGTTCAAAGCCCGGGTTGGAGTGAGCACCCAACCTTCAGCCCAGCTTACTGTTCACCTAAGCTGTTCGAAAACAGCTGTAAGCTGTGAGTAGAAAAATTAGGCACCGCCAGGCCCGTAGTCAGGATTTTGATGGGGGGGGGGGGCTGAGTTTGATTCGGGGGGGGGGGCTGAGGATCTATCCTAGCAAACCTTTTGTATCGTTATCCCAATACCCCATGCATATGGGATATATTGAGCATGGTGATCAGATCATGATATGAATAAACATACCAGTTTAAATAATGTACCACTCTGAGACCACTCTGAGAATTTGGGGGGGGGGGACTGAAGCCCCCAAAGCCCCCCCTAGCTACATGCCTGGGCCCTGCTTAAGCAGGGAGGTAATTTACAGCACCATAAAGGAAATACAAGAAAATTCCAGCAATCAAAGGAAGGAGGAAGTCTGTGATCAAGGCTCTTTCTCATAGAGGATGGAGTGACAGCACCCCCCTGTGGCCGAAATCAAGCTCAACCTCCAGGACACCAAAGTTGGGGAAAATGCCAACATAATATCTGTATCTGTTGTCTGTCCTGTCTGTTTAATGGCATTGAATGTTTGCCATGCATGTGTTCTGTGATCCATCCTGAGTCTCCTTCGAGGTGAGAAGGGTGAAATATAATGGCTGTAAATAATAAATAATAAAAATAATTTCTTAGTGCCACTATTATGTAGTTCAGTATTCATGCAGTTGCACAGCGTACACTGTGAGAAAGCATTCTGATCAATATGTGTTTCCTGGTAGCTTTTGCCAGGGATGTAAAGAAGTAATGACATATCATATTGCTATTCTCCCCCAGCAGTGCTTTCACACAATGAGGACATTTCAGATTATTTGAAATTCGCAGTTAATGTGGGAGCATGGCTATACTGTATATCAGGCATGAGCAAACTCCTGCCCTCCAGGTGTTTTGGACTCCAAAACACCTGGAGTCCAAAACACCTGGAGGGCCGAAGTTTGCCCATATCCTAACCAAACATGTCTTACCTCTTTGTGTTAAATTTGTGACTTGGTGGAGTTCCCCTTTATGAAGTTTAACCACCCACTTCTTGCAGATCAATGTAAAGAAGGCCACAAACAGTTCGTTGAAAAGGCATCAAGATAAAGGCACCAAAACAGGGTCTGTGAAGAAAGAGAAGGTCATCAAGAAGGAAGAAGGTATGGTTTAATGTATTGTCGAAGGCTTTCATGGCCAGAATCACTGGGTTGTTGTAGGTTTTTTTGGGCTATTTGGCCATGGTCTAGAGGCATTCTCTCCTGACGTTTCGCCTGCATCTATGGCAAGCATCCTCAGAGGTAGTGAGGTCTGTTGGAACTAGGAAAATGGATTTATATATCTGTGGAATGACCAGGGTGGGACAAAGAACTCTTGTCTGTTGGAGGCAGGTGTGAATGTTTCAACTGACCACCTTGATTAGCATTTGATGGCCTGGCAGTTGTTTGGTGTGGCTTGTTAGTGCCTGGAGCAATCTTTTGTTGACAGGTTATATTCAAAGTGCTGGCTTTAGCCTACCTGCCCGAACATATCTCTCCTTATGAGCAGGTAGGAATTTAAGATCTTCTGGGGAGGCCCTGCTCTCAATCCCGCCTTCGTTGCATGCATGCCTGCCTGGCAGGGACGAGAGACGGGGCCTTCTCAGTGGTGGCTCCTCATCTATGTAACTCCCTCCCTAGGGATATTAGATCGGCCCTCTCCCTACTAACTTTCCAAAAAAATTAAAAACCTGGCTTTTTGAACAATATAATGGATGAATATGGAACCCAGGAAAGAATGAACATGGCACGGCTTGACAATGTCTGGAAAATTAGTTACCGGTGTTTATATGTTTTTAATGCTTTCTATATGGTTTTTATAATGTGTGTTAAATGTTTTAAATTTTGTTTTATGATCATTGTGACATCGAATTGTGCCAATGTAAGCCACCTTGAGTCACCCCCGGCTGAGAAAGGTGGCATAGAAATGCAGTAAATGAACACATTATTTCCTTTTCCCTTCTGTTTTGTGTTTTTGTGTGTGCTTCAGGTCAGCTCATGCAGATAGAGGAAAAGGGCAAAGGTTCTGTCCCCTGGTCAGTTTATGGCATCTATATCCAAGCAGCTGGAGGCCCCATTGCTTTCATCATCATCATGGCACTGTTTATACTGAATGTGGGCAGCACGGCCTTCAGCAATTGGTGGCTGAGCTACTGGATCAAGCAAGGCAGTGGGGTAAGAGCGGCGGTCGTGGAGGGAACATTATTCTGTGTACAAAGGAAGGAACAAACAAGCCTGATTTGTGGAAAACCTACCTGTTAAGACAAATAAAGGAACCTTTTTAATTGCATTGATTTTGGAGGAATTAGGAGACACGTTGCCCACAATCTCAATATGAACAATGAAAATATTAAAATTCTCTGTAAAGAGTCATATAATTTCTTCATCTGGCTTTTCGGCTTTAAGCAGCAGTGCCTTTCCAGATCTTTGTTAAGATAGGTAAAGGTAAAAGTTTTCCCCTGATGTTAAGTCCAGTCGTGTCCGACTCTGGGGGTTGGTGCTCATCTCCATCTCTAAGCTGAAGAGCCAGCATTGTCCATAGACACCTCCAAGGTCATGTGGCCGGCATGACTGCATGGAACGCCGTTATCTTCCCGCCAGAGCGATACCTATTGATCTATCTATTCACATTTGCATGTTTTCGAACTGCTAGATTGGCAGAAGCTGGGGCTAACAGCGGAAGCTCACGCTGCTCCCCGGATTCGAACTGGTGACTTTTCGGTCAGCAAGTTTAGTAGCTCAGTGTTTAACCCACTGCACCATGGGGGGAGGTCATAATAATCATAATAGTAATAGTAATAGTAGTAATAATACTGCAAAGACTCTGGCACAAGCCAATAAAGGTGGTCCCAGTGGTGATTGGCTAACTGGGTGCAGTGCCTAAAGACCTTGGCCTGCACTTAAACATAATCGGCACTGACAAAATTACCATCTGCCAGCTGCAAGAGGCCACCCTACTGGGATCTGCACGCATTATTCGCCAATACATCACACAGTCCTAGACACTTGGGAAGTGTCCGATGTGTGATCTTGATGCGCCTTCCTCTTGGCACGTTTCTCTTTCACCCTCCACTCATGCCTCTTCAAATTCTGCAGCACTACTGGTCACAGCTGACCTCCAGCTGGGGCGCTCAAGGGCCAGGGCTTCCCAGTTCTCAGTATCTATGCCAGAATTTTTAAGGTTCACTTTGAGCCCATCTTTCAATCTCTTTTCCTGCCCACCAACATTCCGTTTTCCGTTCTTGAGTTCGGAGTAGAGCAACTGCTTTGGGAGATGGTGGTCGGGCATCCGGACAATGTGGCCGGTCCAGCAGAGTTGATGGCGGAGGACCATCGCTTCAATGCTGGTGGTCTTTGCTTCTTCCAGCATGCTGACATTTGTCCACTTGTCTTCCCAAGAGTTTTGCAGAATTTTTTGGAGGCAATGCTGATGGAATCGTTTCAGGAGTTGCATGTGACATCTGTAGATAGTTCACGTCTTGCAAGCGTATAGCAGGGTTGGGAGGACAATAGCTTTATAAACAAGCACCTTGGTATCTCTACGGATGTCTCGGTACTCAAACACTCTGTGCTTTTTTCTTTTTCTTTTTACAGAACACTACCTTGAGATTGGGCAATGAAACCGTTGTAAGCGACAGCATGAAGGACCACCCTCACATGCGTTATTATGCTGGCATCTATGCCCTCTCAATGGGTGTCATGCTGATTTTGAAGGCTGTGCGTGGTGTTGCCTTTGTTAAGGTAGGTGTGTCTGAAAACAGAGGCAGGGTGGCCTCTTGCCTGATCTTGAAGTTATAGTAGATGGAAACTAGGGGGTGTTCTCTTGTATACTCAACTACTACCCTTAGAACCTTCTTTCCTTGCACATGAGAGGAGAAATTAACTTCTTTGTGGCAGCAATAGCCTTGTAAATACTTTTCATAGAATCATATAGAGTTGGAGGAGTCCTTGTGGGCCATCCAGTCCAACCCCATTCTGCCAAGAAGAAGGAAAATTGCATTCAAAGCACCCTTGACAGATGGCCATTGACCCTCTATTTAAAAGCCTCCAAAGAAGGAGCCTCCATCAGAGCAGAGAGTTCCACTGCTGAACAGCTCCGACAGTGATGAAGTTCTTCCTAATGTTCAGGCAGAATCTCCTTTCCTGTAGTTTGAAGCCATTGTTCCATGTCCTAGTCTCCAGGGCTGCAGAAAACAAGCTTGCTCCCTTCTCCCTATGACTTCCCATCACATATTTATACATGGTTGTCTTCATGTTGACTCTCAGCCTTCTCTTCTGTGGGCTAAACATGCCCAGCTCTTTTAGCTGGAATTGTTCTCCAGACCCCTGAGCCTTTGAGTCAGCCTCCTCTGGACACATTCCAGCTTAGAGTCAACATCTCCCTTCAAATGCATTGCCCGGAATTGGACACAGTGTGATTCCAGGTGTGGTCTGACTAAGGCAGAATAGAGAGGTAGCATGACTTCCCTGGATCTATAGAGAAGATGGTTGGAAAACTGTTAGGCTTCTGTGAGCCCCCACTTAGCTCGTAGATTCATACACAAAGCATTTCTTCCTGATTCCATTCATTTTCCTTTTCCGTTGTAGGGGACATTGAGAGCATCTTCCAGGCTTCATGATGAGCTTTTCCGACGGATTCTTCGTAGCCCTATGAAATTTTTTGACACCACACCAACCGGGAGGATCCTTAATAGGTTTTCCAAAGATATGGATGAAGGTAATTGGACTGACTTAAGGTCTCTTTAGCATTAACGTGTCCTAATTTTCTGTCAGCTTGGGGAATGCTGGACCGCCTTCCTGTTTGAGCAAGGAACCCCACAGAATCCATGTCCACGCTGTTGCTTTGAGGAAATGATAACAATTTATTAAGTGGTCTTGCACTAACTTGATTTCCCTATAACAAAGTCCACACTTAAAATCTGAAAGGTAACTTACAGTTCCTGTAGCTGCCAGATGTGGATGTTTCTGAGGAGAATAGATGACAGTTTTTGAGGAACGCCTTCCAAGGGAAATAAGACAGGCTTTTCATAAGAGCATAAAGACCTGGTGGTTTCACCAAGCCTTTGAAAATGACCAGAGGTAGCCCAGTCCTAGACATTGTCAGAATATGGCCTTGTACCTCCCACTTATGATTCTGGTCACTCCTCTAATAGGCCCTGGAAATGAGCAGCCACAGAGCCATACCTATTACTGCTGTTAGCCAGTTATTGCACTTTACCCAATTCCCTGCCCCCCCCCCCCACAACCTCTGAGGATCCCTGCCATAGATGCAGGCGAAACATCAGGAGAGAATGCTTCTAGAACAGCGTTTCTCAACCTGGGGGTCGTGACCCCTGGGGAGTCACAGCGGGGTGTCAGAAGGGTCACCAAGACCATCAGAAAATACATTATTTTCTATTGGCCATGGGGGTTCTGTGTGGGAAGTTTGGCCGAATTCTATTGTTGGTGGGGTTCAGAATGCTCTTTGATTGCAGTTGAACTATAAATCCCAGCAACTACAACTCCCAAATGTCAAGGTATATTTTCCCCAAACTCCACCAGTGTTCACATTTCGGCCTATTGAATATTCGTGCCAAGTTTGGTCCAGATCCATCATTGTTTTAATCCACCGTGCTCTCTGGATGTAGGTGAACTACAACTCCCACACTCAAGGTCAATGCCCACCAAACCCTTCTAGTATTTTCTGTTGGTCTTGGGAGTTCTGTGTGCCAAGTTTGATTCAATTCCCTCATTGGTGGAGTTCAGAATGCTCTTTGATTGTAGGTGAACTATAAATCCCAGCAACTACTACCCCCAAATGACAAAATCAATCCCTCCCCCAACTCCACCAGTATTCAAATTTGGGTGTATTGGGTATTTGTGTCCAGTGAATGAAAATACATCCTGCATATCAGATATTTACATTAAAATTCATAACAGTCACAAAATTACAGTTATGAAATAGTAACGAAAATAGTGTTATGGTTGGGGGTCACCACAACATGAGGGGTCGTGGCATTAGGAAGGTTGAGAACCACTGTTCTAGAACATGGCCAGAAAGCCCAAAAAACTTACAACAACCCAGTAATTCCGACCATGAAAGCCTTCAAAGTATAATATGGGTTACTTCAAATCCTTGCTCTTAACCTGCATTACTAAGACTTGTGCTGTCATGTTGTGTCTCTGTACGTAGAGTAGAAGTTCAATAGGAATTTCTGAAACAGAATTTTATGGGAAGCATTCATCCTATTATGTACAGAAGGGGTGGGGTTGGTTGGCTGAATGGCAGGGAATGAATTGTCTAAATCAGCCATGGGCAAATTTTGGTCCTCCAGCTGTTTTGGACTTCGACTCTCACAATTCCTAGGCTGTTAGGAATTGTGGGAGTTGAAGTCCAAAATACCTTAAGGACCAAAGTTTGTCCATGCCTGGTCTAAAGAAATAGCGTCACTCAACTTGATTGGACCTTGTATTCTTAGTTTGCTATGTGAAGACTTCCATCTCTGTCCATCTCTTCCAGTTGATGTCCGCCTACCGTTTCAAGCCGAAATGTTCATACAGAATGTCATCCTGGTCTTCTTCTGTGTGGGAGTGATCGCTGGCGTCTTCCCGTGGTTCCTCATGGCAGTTGGGCCCCTTGTCATCCTTTTTATTATCCTACATGTTGTGTCTAGGTAAATAAACAATAGTTCAGACCCCCCCCCCCCCAATATTTTGCTCTAAGCAGGTTATTTCAGTAGTTTCCAGTGTCTGATCTTTCACTTCCATTTAGTTCTCTCTTTTTGTCTGCAGAGTCTTCATTCGAGAGTTAAAGCGACTGGACAATATCACACAATCTCCTTTCATTTCACACATCACCTCGAGCATACAAGGCCTCTCTACAATCCATGCCTACAATAAAGGGCAGGAGTTCCTGCACAGGTCAGCATTCTTGTCAGACTTCTCTAACACATATGCTGCAAGGGTTTAGGTTCTGACTTTTATCATTTGGCAATAATCTATATAAATAAAAAATAAAAATGTAATGTTTGTTTGTGGGTTTAACAGAACTCAAAAACCACTGCACGAATTGACACCAAATTTGGACACAAGACACCTAACAACCCGATGTATGTCCTTCACTCATAAAACACTGAAAAACACAGCAGAAGGGACTTAAAAAGGTCCCCAAAAGCTAAATGAAGAAAAGCTAAATGACAATACAGAAAAAAGGGAAAAAGAGGGAGGGAAGAGGAGAAGAAAACAAACAAACAAAGAGGGAAAGAAAGAAGGAAAGGGATAAGGAAGGAAGGAAGGAGATAGAGAAGGAAGAAAGGAGAGAAAGAGGGAGGGAAAGAAAAAGGGGGAAGGAAGGAAACTTAGAGAAGGAAGGAGGGAAAGAAAGAAAAAAGAGAAAGAAGGAAGGAAAGAGGGAGCGAAGGAAGGGGGAAGATGTAGAGAAAGAGGGAGGGAAGGAAAGAAGGAAGAAAAGAGAGACAGCAGAAGAGAAAGAAAAGGGGGAAGGAAGGAAAGAAATAGAGAAGAAAGGAAGAAGAGAAGAAAAGACAGGAAGGGAGGGAGGGAGGAAGGAAGGAAGGAAGGATGGAAGGAAGGAAGGAAAGAGGGAAGAAAGGATGGAAGGAAAGAAGGAGAGAAAGATGGAAGGTTGGCCACAGCAATGCGTGGTGGGTACAGCTAGTCTATATAAATAAAAATGTAATGTTTGTTTGTGGGATTAACAGAACTCAAAAACCACTGGACGAATTGACACCAAATTTGAACACAAGACACCTAACAACCCAATGCATGACCTTCACTCCAAAAAATTGATTTTGTCATTTGGGAGTTGTAGTTGCTGGGATTTATAGTTCACCAAAGAACATTCCGAACCCCACCAACGATGGAATTGAACCAAATATGGCACACTATTCTCCCATGACCAACAGAAAATACTGGAAGGGTTTGGTGGGCAGTGTCCTTTGGTTTTGGAGTTGTAGTTCACCTACATCCAGAGATCACTGTGGACTCAAACAATGATGGAACTGGACCAAACTCTACAAGAATACTCAATATGCCCAAATGTGAACACTGGTGGAGTTTGGGGGAAATACATTCTTGACATTTGGGAGTTGTAGTTGCTGGGATTTATAGTTCACTCACAATCAAAGAGCATTCTGAATGGCACCAGTGATGGAATTGAACCAAACTTGGCACAAACAACTCTCAAGACCAACAGAAAATACTGGAAGGGTTTGGACTAAACTTGACATAAATACTCAATATTCCCAAATGTGAACACTGGTGGAGTTTGGGGAAAATAGAATCTTGACATTTGGGAGTTGTAGTTGCTGGGATTTATAGTTCACCTACAATCACAGAGTATTCTGAACCCCACCAATGATAGAATTGGGCCAAACGTCCCACACAGAACCCCCATGTGGGCCACAGCAACGCGTGGCAGGGGACGGCTATTACCTATAATGTGAGACATTTCCTTGGAAAAACATTTCCTTCCTTCTAGATACCAAGAGCTGCTCGATGACAACCAAGCACCCTTCTACTTGTTCAGCTGTGCAATGCGATGGCTGGCTGTTAGGCTGGATATTGTCAGCATTGCCCTCATTACGACTACTGGGTTAATGATTGTCTTCATGCATGGCCAGATCCCTCCTGCATATGCTGGGCTTGCCATCTCCTATGCTGTTCAGGTGAGGAGATCTTTTGTCTTTCAACATGTGTTTGGATTTTTGATCTCTGGTTACTAGTAAGGATGCTGGAGTTGTACAATTGCAGAGATAATTTGCTTTTTTAAAGCTCTGTATTGTGATTTCACAGTTCACACTGTCTGCCTTTTTCTTTCTGTTCTGTCTGTCTGATCTCTGAGCCATTAGCTAAGTTACTCTGCTGATATGCAATACAGTTGGTCTTCAGATTTGCAGGTTTGATCAAAATGTTCTCTGTAGGAATCTCTAGATCAGTGGTTCTCAACCTTCCTAATGTTGCAACCCCTTAATACAGTTCCTCATGTTGTGGTGACCCCCAACTGTAAAATTATTTTTGTTGCTACTTCATAACTGTAATTTTGCTACTGTTATGAATCATCATGTAAAATATCTGATATCCAGGATGTATTTTCATTCACTGAACCAATTTGGCACACATACCCGATGCACCCAAATTTAAATACTGGTGGGGTTGGGGGGTTGTTATTGATTTTGTCATTTGGGAGTTGTAGTTGCTGGGATTTATAGTTAACTATAAACGAGAGACAGGGCCTTCTCGGTGATTGCTCCCCGGCTATGGAACTCCCTTCCTGGTGAGATCAGGTCGGCTCCCTCTCTTCTGTCCTTTAGAAGGAGGGTAAAAACTTGATTGTGGGGCCAAGTTTTTGGGACAGGGCAACAAAGCAGCAATAGGAAAGATTACCAGGCTAATTAGATTTGACGTGGATGACTAGGACGGTTTTAAATGGTGTATTTTAATATTTTGATAAATGTTTTTAATGTTTATGTATGTATATAAGAATTTGTGTCCCGGCATTGAATGTTTGCCGTATATATGCTGTGTTCTGCCCTGAGTCCCCATCAGGGTGAGAAGGCCGGAATATAAATATTTTAAATAAAATAAATAAATAATATATTGTCGAAGGCTTTCATGGCCGGAATCACTGGGTTGTTGTGGGTTTTTTTGGGCTATATGGCCATGTTCTAGAGGCATTCTCTCCTGATGTTTCGCCTCACTACCTCTGAGGATGCTTTCCATAGATGCAGGCGAAACGTCAGGAGAGAATGCCTCTAGAACATGGCCATATAGCCCGAAAAAACCTACAACCCAAATAAATAATAACTAATCCCTATGTAGAATAGCAACATCGCACAATTCATGTCAATGAACATCTGTTATTGTACAGTGCATAATGCATGATGCACAACCACAGTGCACAATGGTATCACACAATTACAGTATACAAAAAACACAAGGCATATCCCATCTGCACAATTTTGCTTCTGCAGCTGTTGGCAGAATGCATGTGTTGTTGCACAGTGGTGACCTTTTGGCTTGCGGATCCTTATGTCCCTAAATGGACGCGAGCCAGAGTGTTGCTCTGTACATGATGTCAAATTAATTGATGAAATTTAAGACAGATTGAAGCCAAAAAAATGTTAAAACATAGCTAATCCTTTTATGTGCTTTCCCGATTAGTACCATTTCATTATCTAAAGTACAGCCTTGGATTGTGGAGTAGGCTAATGTCCCGGGCACAGTATTCACTAGCAGGCTGCATAGTTAATAACACTATGGCTGCAATCCAACATCCTCTCAGTGTGGTGTAAATATAAGGGTTTAGACATATGCAATGTTTAACAGTATCCTCCTCCTATAGTGCTGGGAGAAAAGTAGGATATGCAATAAATACAAACTTGCTGTAAAGCCCTGAAGTCACCTTGCATGGACATTTTGTCTTCACTTCAAGCAGATAGGACAGTGTTACACAACCTTCCTAATGCCACGACCCCTTAGTACAGTTCCTCATGTTGTGGTGACCCCCAACCATAACATCATTTTCATTGCGATTTCATAACTGCAATTTTGCTACTGTTATGAATTGTAATATCTGAGATGAAGGATGTTGTTTCATTCACTGGACCAAATTTGGCACAAATGCTTGATACACCCAAATCTGAATACTGTTGGGTTTGGGTGGGTGGATGGGGGATTGATTTTGTCATTTGGGAGTTGTAGTTGCTGAGATTCATAGTTCACCTACAATCAAAGAGCATTTTGAACTCCACCAACGATGGAATTGAACCAACCTTGGCACACAAAACTCCCAGGACCAACAGAAAATACTGGAAGGGTTTGGTGGGCATTGACCTTGAGTTTGGGAGTTGTAGTTCACCTATATCCAGAGAGCACCGTGGATTCAAACAATGATGAATCTGGACCAAACTTGGCACGAATAATAGGTCCAAATATATGCCACTGGTGGAGTTTGGAGGAAAATAGACATTGACTTTTGGGAATTGTAGTTGCTGGGATTTATAGTTCAAGCAAAGAGCATTCTGAACCCCACCAACAAGAGGGATGGAGGGAGTTCCACAGCTGGGGGGCCACCACAGAAAAGGCCCTGTCTCTTGTCCCCGCCAGACGCGACTGCGACAATGGGTGGGACAATGAGTAGGGTCTCCTCAGATGATCTTAGGGCCCTCGGTGGATCGTAGCGGGAGATACGTTTGGACAAGTAATCAGATAGTGTAAGAGAGGAGGGCTTGAGAAAAGAGCCCAAGGGGCCGTATCCTGCCCCCAGGCCTGGGTTTGCCCATACCTGAGCTAGATACATCTCCAATTCTGCTTGCCCCAAAGCATAGAATGGCCATGCAAGGCAGCTTCAGGGACTTAGAGTAGGTTGGCTAGAGGGTCATTGGGTGCAGTGATGGGGAGAAAATAATACACCCCAACAGGCTCCGAAAAAAGGACTTCTGCATGCATGTGGCACCTATGCTTGCCCATGTTTCTAACTGAATTCTGGCCTCTCTGCCTCTGTTCTGTTTTGTGTGTATTGTAAAGCTTTGGCCGTAAGTCATGATCTAGGTTGCAAATATAAACAAATGTTAATTCATTCATTCTGCACAGACTGTGGTCAACTATTCTCTGTTTCCTCTTCAGCTAACAGGCTTGTTCCAATTCACGGTCAGGCTGGCTTCAGAGACAGAAGCCCGCTTCACCTCGGTAGAGAGGATTGATCACTATATCAAGGTAAGGATTTCCCAGTGTTTTGCTCATTGCTTGTCGTGTTCACAGATGACTTACTTCTGGAAACATTTTGAGGATACTGGTTTGAATACAATGTCTTGCTTTTTCAATCTGTTGGCACAATGAATCTTACATTAGTGACTGGTCTTTAGGAATGCTGCGCATGTGTACATGCTTAACGAAGTGTTGGGCTTCATTACTGTGCCTGCTTTTTGGTTATGGAGAAGGTGACATCTTGTGGTGATGACTGATATCTTCCATCTTGGGTTCGAGGAAGACTTTCAGTTGTGAAGATTTCTGCACCTAAGGAACAAACTTAAATATTAAAACCTTTTGACATTCAGATGTGTATTAACTCTGAGAACTGACAGAAGATAGTTTATTGTGGGTCATTTTTGTGCTCTGTATATGTGAATGCATTACATGTTAAGCATCCCTTATCCAAACTGTTTGGGGCCAGAAGTGTTTTCCATTTTGGATTCCACCCCCCCCCCCCCCCCAGATTTTGAAATATCTGTATTTGCAAATGAAAATGTGTAGAGGGAACCTAAAGCTCAACACGAAATTCATTGATGTTTCATATATACCTTATACATGTATAAGAGTGAAGAGAGGGGAGGCCAGGGGACAACCCACCTTGCCTCCTGTTATATTGTAATAATATAGTATAATATACTGTATATACATACAATATTTATAATATTATAATGTAATGCAATTTATTTGTCGTATCAGGGCAACCAGTCAATTATATTACATTTCTAACAGAACAAAGCAAACAAACAGGCAAAATACAAAATTTGTAAGTTTGGTAGTTGATTAAATGTCCTTTGACCAGTATCTGGCCACTTGGAGTGCTTCTGGTGTTGCTGCAAGAAGGTCCTCCATTGTGCATGTGGCAGGGCTCAGGGTGCATTGCAGCAGGTGGTCAGTGGTTTGCTCCTCTCCACACTCGCATGTCGTGGATTCCACTTTGTAGCCCCATTTCTTGAGGTTGGCTCTGCATTTGTGGTGCCAGAGCGCAGTCTGTTCAGCGCCTTCCAAGTTGCCCAGTTTTCTGTGTGCCTAGCGGGGAGTCTCTCATTTGGTATCAGCCATTGGTTGAGGTTCTGGGTTTGAGCCTGCCACTTTTGGACTCTCACTTGCTGAGGTGTTCCAGCGAATGTAATGCAATATAATAATAATAATAATAATAATAATAATAATAATAATAATAATAATATATGGTGCAATATAGCAATGTTTAATGCTGATATTGTACTATGCTAATAATATAATATATTGTATGTAATATATACCTTGTAAGCTGCTCTGAGACCCCTTTGGGGTGAGAAGGGCGGCATATAGATGTCGTAAATAAATAAATAATGTATTCTGATGGTAGTTTTATTCACAATATTTTTAATAATTCTGTGCATGAAACAATTTTTTTGCAAGACTGTTGGGCTTCCCTGCTTTAATATGCCAGGTCTTTAGGCACGAGCTTCTCTGACTTTACTGTTGTACACAGCTTTAAATCCCTCTTAAATTCTGAGTTGTATTGTGTAATGAATATACAGCAACCTGTATTCACCTGAAATGCATTAAGAGGAAATATGTCCCGGAACACTGTTTGCACCCAAGGCTTGACTCCTTTCTTGTCTTTTTCTCTTTCTCTCCTTTCCCTGTTGCTTTCTCAGACTCTTTCCTTGGAGGCTCCGGCTCGGATTAAGAACAAAGCTCCTCCTCTGGATTGGCCTCAGGAAGGAGAAGTTACCTTTGAAAATACAGAAATGCGGTATCGGGAGAACTTGCCGCTTGTCCTCAAGAAAGTCTGCTTCACTATCAAACCCAAGGAAAAGATTGGCATCGTGGGGAGGACGGGGTCAGGTGAGGACAGAGGAACACAGAGAACTTCTTAGGCAGCTCAAATTCATTCTGTGCATGTTTTTGAAAACACGGCATCTATGTAAGCCGACGGGAGCCATCTAGTGGAAGGCCGTGCTGGTAGAAGTTAGTTCTGCTGTTGTGTTGCAGAAAATCTATGTGCTTACATAGCTTTGCAGCTTTATAGAGGCTGCAGTGACTAATGCACACTATTCATTGTCTGTGTATGCATGCACGCACATCCTTGTTACCAGTTGCGAAGTCTATCATAGTAGTTTGCTTGAGATGTCTGATATTACAGGTTGCGTAAGTGTTCTTGGTGCGCTAGTAAAAGTCTACCAGAACGGTAGACATCTGTTCCCAAGCTTTGCCTGTGAGTCTGCCCTTAGCAGTTCTTTTTTTTTCTTAAAAAAGGCATGGAAGAGCAGCGTCCTTTACAGCTACTTCACAAGCTAGGAGTTATGAACAGTGTTCCAGTGAAAATAAACAATATCTGATTGCCAGTATTTAAAAAAAACTCTAAAATCAGGGCAGTATATATTTATTTATTTATCTTGTCAGGAGCAAACCGGTGGCGCAGTGGGTTAAAGCCCTGTGCCGGTAGGACTGAAGACTGACAGGTCGCAGGTTCGAATCCGGGGAGAGGTGGATGAGCTCCCTCTATCAGCTCCAGCTCCTCATGCGGGGACATGAGAGAAGCCTCCCACAAGGATGATAAAAACATCAGATCATCCAGGCGTCCCCTGGACAACGTCCTTGCAGACGGCCAATTCTCTCACACCAGGAGTCACTGCTGACACGACAAAAAAAAAAAAGGAGCAAACCAAACAGTTGTATTGCATTTTTTAACAAACAAACAAAACACAAAGTTTGCAAGCTTGGTAGTTGATTAAATGTCCTTTGACCAGTACCTGGCCACTTGGGGTGCCTCTGGTGTTACTATAAGAACGTCCTCCATTGTGTATGTAGCAGGGCTTGGGTTGCATTGCAGCAGGTGGTCAGTGGTTTGCTCTTCTCCACACTCGCATGCCGTGGATTCCACTTTGTAGCCTCATTTCTTAAGGTTGGCTCTGCATCTCGTGGTGCCAGAGTGCCATCTGTTCAGCGCCTTCAGAAGCTACCAGAAGGGCAGTAAATAAAAAACAACACTCAAAAACAGGGGAATTTCCAGACAGGAAACAGTCAAAGCCAGCGAACACTTTCCAAAAAAAGATTCCCCCAGGATGGAAGCAGCCAGGCTTTGAAACTGCAAGGCCATTCAGTGCTAATCAAGGTGGCTGGTTGCAACATTTGCACTTGCCTCAAGCAGACGAGAGTTCTTTCTGCCATCCTGGACATTATTCCACAGATATATAGACCCTATTTGACTAGTTTCCAACAGACCTCACAACATATTGCCGAAGACTTTCATGGCCGGAATCACTCGGTTGTTGTAGGTTTTTTTGGGCTATATGGCCATGTTATAGACGCATTTTCTCCTGACGTTTCACCTGCATCTATAGCAGGCATCTTCAAAGGTAGTGAGGTCTGAGGATGCTTGCCATAGATGCAGGCGAAAAGTCAGGAGAAAATGCCTCTAGAACATGGTCATATATCCCGAAAAAATCTACAACAACCCAGACGTCACAACCTCTGAGGATGCCTGCCATAGATGTGGGCGAAACGTCAAGAGAGAAATATGGCTGTACAGCCCAGAAAACTCACAGCGACCCAGTGATTCCGGCTATGATACCCTTTGACAACAAATTATACAGCTGGATCACGCTGCTTCAGTTCTTCTGCCAGAAGCAGTGACTCAATACATGTCACGTTGCCAGGGCTCTACTTATTTTAGGTAGAGATTAATCAAACTCCCAGTTTTATCAAATAGTTTAATTAAAACAGCACTATTTGTTGGCTGTTTTTATAGTCCATAATATAAAACATAAAGATATTACTCAACTATAGAATAAACAAAAACTGATAGCAAAAATAACTTCGTAGTCAAAAGGGTCCAGTCCAGTGGTCAGACGCCGGGAGTTCAATAACAGAGTCTAGGGATCAAGAGTCTATATCGTAGTCAAAAGCCAGTCCCAAAGGTTCAAGGTTCCAGGATTCCAAGGTTACAGGAGACAGGTCAGGATACTGAAAATCCAACAGACCTGCGGGAAAAACCAGCAGCATCCACCACCAAAATGCAACAGATACTTTTCTCCCAAAAATCAGTCTCAAGGTTAGTTCCTTAAATCCAGTAACACCCAACTGCAACCCATCTCTTGCATACGTCCACCCTTAATTGCTTTTACCTGTAAAGTGTTACTTACAAACTACTCAGCCCTTTAGAACCAAAACTTACATTAACCCTTCCATCACCAACTGCCAGGTCTACCACAACCAACCACCATCAACTATGGAACATATGACAATACAGTTGTTCCTTCACATTTGAAGGGATTGAGAGCTCAGTGCCCCTGTGAAATGGGGAAACCCACAAATATCTCTAGGGACCTCAAACTGTATTTAGCACAGAGAAAAAAGTACCTTACATGTGTCTAAAAATATTTTCTGTGGGTGTTTAATAATTTTTTTTTTAAGTTTTGGTATGATTCACCAATTATTTGCTGCCCCCTCTGCTGTTGTCCTATGCTACTTTTAATAAGGACTGTGATAAGATTGGTGTCCTTCTTGAGCTCTGCTCATTTAAGTCAGGCTTGTCAGTGGTCAAATCTTTGACCACTGGGAAGAAATCAAGGTGGCTAGGCGGCTAGGCCAGACCTTGCACATATTCCCTCAGTAGGGGCAGCAGCAAATAATCCGCAAATAATCAAATCTGGAGGGATGACTATAAACTAGAAAAGCTCAATCTGTGGCTTGTTCAGCATTGCATCTGAACAGACAATCCTAGCTTGTTTGATTAGTGGACCAATCATAAAGCAAATAAGTATTCTGAATCCTGAATTTGGAAAGTAACCAGCCAAGGATTGTTGTTTGGGCAAACATCACTACCTTCCATCAATATAAGCCAGAACTGTTAGTTCTTCTGTCTTTTTGTTATATATGAAACATTTATTTGCATCAGTATTGTCTTATCATTATTATTCTTCCTTGCTTTTTTTCAGGAAAGTCCTCTCTGGGAATGGCTCTCTTTCGTTTGGTTGAACTCTCAGGGGGCTGCATTAAAATCGATGGAGTGAAAATCAATGACATTGGCTTGGCAGATCTCCGGAGCAAGCTGTCCATCATCCCCCAGGAGCCTGTGCTGTTTAGTGGTACTGTCAGGTTAGTAGAACTCATCACAAAAGGAGATGAAAAAGAGATTGTCACTTCTGCAGCCTTCCAAATAGTATGGAGCAAGTCACAAGCAAAGTGGACATTCCACTAGTAAATATAGCACAAAATTAACTGCTTTCGGAATTACCTACACTTGTCTTACGGCTTCTGGTTACTTTTTTACTCCATGTAGCAAAGAGAGCCCTACAAATTTGATGGGGTTGCCAAAAGTGCCTTTGAGTTACCAGAGCAGGAACACCTTGGACGTTAAACACAATACCAGCTTGGTAAAATCAGCAAGCAGTTTATTGTTAAATATATGTAGGCAAAGCAGTAAAAAATAGCACAACAATATTTATTACCACATTTTTATCCCGCTCTTTTCAGCTTGAAAGCGACTCACAGTGACGTACTGGCAACAGTTAGATGCCACAACATACATGCATACATATAAATTAAAAACATTTAATATCACACAATAAAAATTCATATAAACCAGTTAAATCATATAGTCCAATAGATACAATATAAGAAACAGTCTATAAGCTTCAAAGGAAAACAAGATCCATAAGTACATTAGAAATCCATGAAACTAGGCACTTTTGAATCCATGAAACAAGACAGCAGGAAAACCCCATAAACAGAACTTAAGCATGGCAAAAACTTGGTGCATGGAACTCAGAGCACTTGAAAGCAAGACTTTGATAAAATAACAACATTGGCCTGACTGGGGCAACTTTCTCCCATGAATCACTATAAAGCGTTCTCAGAACCCAAAACATAAAGGAAAGCATTTTTCTTGACCTTTACACCAGATAAAGGTTTGTTATCTCTCTTTTGCTGAAGCAGAACTGATTTTCTCAGTCTCTGAAGACTTTGCCTCTGTTTACTAAAACTTCATTTTCTGTCCAAGCTTTCATTATATTAGCCCTCATTAACTCCTGCACCCGACAAATCATGGTCAGACAGTTGTTGTGAGAAAAGCAATGAAGGGCCTCTTCCAAGAATGTGGCCTTGTGAATCTTCTTGAGACAGCTCAAGCCTCTCTTCTGAACTTAACTCAAGACTTAACTCAGGCCCAAGCAAATCCTCATCCCCAGGCCCATCATCAGGAACATCATCCCCATTCTCATTATGAACATCAACATGAACATAATTCCCAACATAAACATCAACATGAACATCAGACACAATAACAGGCTGAACAGGCTGACGTACAGCACCTATCAACTTATGGAAACCCTATGAAATTCATAGGGCTTTCTTCTGTTTAAGACTCTTAAACAGATAGATTTCCCACTTGAGAACATAACATATTAGAGTTTGGATTTTTTCCCCCACTTTTTGAGCTAGCCTTCCTTTTTTATGTATGTTGTTTGAAAAAATAATTTTTGTCTGCCTGGGAATCTTTTATTTTATGGATTCCTAAAATGTGTGCTGCATGCATACTAAAAGGTACTGCTTGGAAGCCAGGCAAATTTTTTTGTTTTGGACAACTTTCCTATCAACTCTCTTTCAATACCTTTTGAGTTTGGATGTCTTGACTATTTTCTTTGAATGGTGTGTATTTCAGAGGACACTTGGCAGTCATTTTCTGTTCTTCTCTTCCTCCTCCAGGTCTAACTTAGATCCATTCTCACAGTATGGTGAGGAACAGATCTGGGATGCTTTGGAAAGGACCCACATGAAGGATTGTGTAAGTACAGGAATTGGTAGTAATGGTAGGGTTCTCATTTACCCACATACCTGGGGAAAAGCTGAGCCCCATTTCTATGAGAGGGTTTTATTTGAAAGACCCAGTGCAACGAGACAGGGCGGGCATTCCCAAGGGGCTGTATACCAAGACCTTGGATATCCCACCTCTGCCTACATGGAACATATATGTATGTGCACGTGAGGTAATGAGGCGATACGAGGAGAGTGAGGAATCGAAGCACTTATAGTTCATGCCTGAAACACACTATCTTTGTCTCTGTGTCGCCTTTCTTTATATGTATTTGTTACAGTATGCAATGTTTAGATGTCTATGTATATTTCTTCAATGTGTAACCCAATCCTGGAGTCAATATGTAGCTTCCAACCTCTCCTCACAGGTTACATCAGTGTAATCTCCAACTGATTTGCAGCCATGTAAATTTAGTTCTGTAACTTGACACAAGACTTCAATATATATGTTGAAACAAAGAAATGTTTATTTATGAGCTCTTTTGCACATAAGCTTATCTGTTACAAAGTACATTGCTTCAGTTCCACTTGGATATTATTGCAACTGTCTTTCACGCCTTTGAATATATAAAAATTGTTATTATGTAACTTTCAAAACAGTTTAACTTAATTCTACTCTCTTAAGCCACTTTCTTCTCCTTCAAAATATATTTCTCCACAGCCTCCTGGATGGCTAGCTTATGACTTTTAGTCACTCTCTTCCATCAATAGTCTGACTGAAAACTTAGTCCAAAGGAATCTCTATCTCTCAGTTTTACTTAACTAAGAATTATACTTATATTAGTTTTTTCTTTACTTGGAAGCTACAAACGTAAATACCGATCCTCTTCCTTCTAGCTCCTGGCTAGAGATTTTTTTAAATGTTCCCACTTTTTCTATCTAGCTCCACCCCTTTTCTTGCTAGCCACTCTAAAATGCATACATTTCTACTGCAAAGGCTACGTATCCATGGTGGCACAACGACCAATCAGATGTAACCAGCTCCTGATTGCCCTTTCCATAATATCAACAGTAGTAAATATAGACAAAAAAACCTCTGTTACAATTACCTTTTCCATTACACCCAGCTTGGGTAACACCAAAGGAGAAGTTGGCTCTTTGTGGTGAGACAATATGAAGGAGGAAGGCCACCCTTTAATAAACTTCATGGGTGGCCTTTCTGTTCATTTTTGAAGAGCTGAAGACAATAATTGTTGACAGATAAATAGTATAAAACATTCAATTGTAAAAGACAAAGCACAACAAAAGACCAATAAAACATATTTCACAACATCAATAAAAGCATAGTTAAAAGGGAGTGTTATAAATCAAAGACCATATTTATTTTTTTGTCATGTCAGGAGCGACTTGAGAAACTGCAAGTCGCTTCTGGTGTGAGAGAATTGGCCATCTGCTCCACCATATTTATAAAGTGTTAGAAATCAATCAAAGATTGTTGCCATGATGACGCAATGGGTTAAACCATTGTGCTGAACTTGCTGACCAAAAGGTTGGCGATTCGAATCCGTGGGACGGGGTGAGCTCCCTCTGTTAGCCCCAGCTCCTGCCAACCTAGCAGTTCAAAAGTATGCAAATGTGGGTAGATCAATAGGTACCGCCTCAAAGGGAAGGTAAACTTGGCTCTCCATGCAGTCATGCCGGCGTTATCATCTAGGAGGTGTCTAAGGACAACGCAAACTCTTCTGCTTAGAAATGCAGATGAGCACCAACCCTCAGAGCCAGAAGGGAAAGCCTTCACCCTTATCTGTGTTTGGTTGTTTCTAGGCTTTCAACGTTTGCCTTTGTGTTTGTTTATGCAGGAATCTGCCTTGAGTGCCCTCAGGGAAATAGGACAGAGTACAAATAAAATGTTGTCGTTGTTGTTGTCGTTATTCTTGTCATTGTTTTTGTTGCTATCATCCTCATCATCGTCACCATCAGAGTCAACAACTTATTGTGTACACTACAGATTGGAGTAGACTTGTGTTGGTGACCCTGAGTCAGTCTGATGCAGCCCCTGTTGAAGGTTTTGGAAAATAATTTGGGTTATCTTTGTTGAGTGTTTTTCCCAGTGGCTGAGGAGTATTTTGGCTGTTGGGTGGAGCTAGCATTTTCTCATTAGTATTAATTAAATTGCTTGGCTTCCAAAATGGATGTAGCATTTTAAAGTCATGGCTTTGTTTCTTTAACCTCAACTAGATCTCTCAGCTGCCCATGAAACTTGAATCTGAAGTAATGGAAAATGGTGAAAACTTCTCTGTTGGAGAGAGGCAGCTGCTTTGCATTGCCAGAGCTTTGCTGCGTCGTTGTAAGGTAAGTTGGGGAATTAAAGAGCATGACGATTTATGGGGGTGTTAAATGTCTGTTTTATTCTCTGTCTTGCTCACCTCTCTGCTATTATTTAGGCAACAAGCTCAGCCCCAGGAACTTTGTTTTTGTCACCAAACTGAGCTCACAGTCCATTCAGCCTCACTTTATCCAAATCTGTTTTCATTTAATCATAATTTTAGCTATAGTGCTGATTAAAAAAAATCCTTGCTGATGTACATTGACCTTGAGGTTGGGAGTTGTAGTTCACCCACATCCAGGAAGCACTGTGGACTCAAACAGTGGGGTTTATAGTTCACCTACAGTCACAGCAGGAGGAGGGCTTTTGGTGGGAGAATTTGCTGTCTGTTTCCAAAAAGGAAGAGGACAAGTGGAGAGATCTTCAGCCTTCTCTGCCAAAGGGGTTCCTAAAACTATCAGAACTATATGTTTTCTGATAGTCTTTGATGATCCCTCTGAAACTCCCCCTCGCGACCCCAAGGTTGAAAAACGCTGCACTAGACTAAATGTCGATAAAATCTATGCAGAAAAGGCCATCTGTAAAAAGCAGGGGTTTATTTGGGGAAAATAATCCCAGCGCTTGCCACCAATTATAAAAGATAGATATTTATTTGGGAACAAAATCCCACAAGCTGACACCAATTATAAAAGGTAGGGACTATAAATCCCACCCGCTGTACACCACTTGTGATTGAATGTGGCTTCAGTGTTTAAAAACCCAAAATCAAAAAGCTGCAAATAAGCTGGAACAAACTTCTGGCCGGAAAATCCTTTTGAAAGAGCTCTGGCACCCACCAAACTTAAAAGGAAAGTTAAGCCCTTGGCTTACTTGAAATATCTTAGGCAAGAGTGTGCTGGATTAGCACTCAGGCTTGTGTTCTGAGGTAACATTGAAAAGATTACTCTTTAAAAATATATGCTGCCACCATTAAACTCTTGATTGCTGCTGGAAACTGCTTCTAAAACTTCATCCACAGAGGCACATGTGAGGCAGATGTTGTGAACAATAAAACAATGATGTTTATTTAAGAGAACTTGAACCAAACAGAAAATAAGTTTAGCTGTTCAGAAGTATTGACTTTAAAGCGTGTAGTTTCTTTCAGCAGTTCAAACTTAGTTGCACATAAACACTCCTCTTCCCCTCCAGAAATTACTGACAGGATTTCTTCTTTGAAAGTAATTCTAAACTCCACCACAGATAGTCCCTTCCTGGATCTATCTCTACACTCCTCCACCAGCTATCTTCCCTAATAGCTTTTTTTTTTTTGTCGTGTCAGGAGCGACTTGAGAAACTGCAAGTTGCTTCTGGTATGAGAGAATTGTCCGTCTGCAAGGACGTTGCCCAGGGGACGCCAGGATGATTTGATGTTTTTATCATCCTTTTGGGAGTCTTCTCTCATGTCCCCGCATGAGGAGCTGGAGCTGATAGAGGGAGCTCATCCGCCTCTCCCCGGATTCGAACCTGCAACCTGTCGGTCTTCAGTCCTACCGGCACAGGGGTTTAACCCACAGCGCCACCGGGGGCTCCCCTAATAGCTGTAAAATCACTATATCTATGAACAGAATTCATTCTGATTTTTAATTAGGTTCACAGTTTGGGACAATAGCTATGTATGCTACTGAATTCTTATTCTTGTTTCTTATCACAAGAAACAAGGCTGAAATCCTTTGCAGAATGTACACATTGGTTTTTGTTTTTAAAATGAAAGCTAAGATTCTTAGGAAAATAAATGACTAAGTATTAACTTATATGAGTCTATTAAAAATTCTGGATGGCATTCATCCTGTCGGCTAAACGGCTTTGTTATTTGTTCTGTTAGTAGGAGTTTAAGATTTGGATGTTAGCAACAGATCCTAATGCAACTGATGCTTAAGTGGTTTCTGTTTGGAAATCACTGTGTATAAGTCTATGGTAGTGCAGCAAACAGAGCCTAGGGAGTAAGTTTCAGCCCTTCCAGACAGGGTCTATGTCAATGGCCTCCGCACAGCAAGGCAAGGAAACACATTGATCACAGTCTCCTTTAAACTAATTTATTGTACAACTATTTACATAAGAAGCTAAGCACATAGTAAAAACTGTAGAGACGCGATAATGACCAGGCGGGAGACAGGGTGTAGAAGTGAATGATGATGGCTTTTTTATTGTTGCCCAAGCAAAGCTTATATGGGTTCTGGTGCTCTTCAGCAAAGGTCTGCATAGCAACAGTGGGGGATTACATAATGGCCAGGTGATTGGTTGGACTCTTAAGGGTGAGCTCATCATAGGTGAGGTAGCCTACTACCAGTCCCAGGTCATGATGCCCTGTATACTTTGTCAGAATGGTGTGAAGCGTAAGTGTCAGGGGTCTGGAATTTCCCATGCGCGTCCAGACTAGAATGGTTTGCCAGTAATAACCCAGAGGCGCATCGCCACTTCAATGGGACATAATAATGTCATCACTCCTTCAAAAAACTGCTTCCTCTCCATTGGCTGCTACATCTTGAAGAACAGAACATGTTGTTATCAGCATTAGTCCACACCTCCTGCATTCCAGAGTCACGTATGACGTACAACGCACTACTGCGTCCATTGCTCTCTGTACTAAGATTTAAGGATTAATTCCTGTGTGGAATTAACCCTTTCCATGCAGGAATACTCTTGGCACACAGCATTACATTTTAAACATACAAACACACTTTGAAAACTACATTACACATTTTCAAAACACATCAACAGCCTATATCCCAGGATCTGATCCCAAGTTTTCTGCTTTAAACTGCCAGAAAACCTGGGATCAGATCCTGGGATATAGGGCCTATCTGAAAGGGGGTTAAAGGAAAAGTTATACATCTTCCTCCTCTATGTACTCATTTTCTTTTAATTTTGCAATCCCATTTGGAGCAAAGTGTGTTTGCCTTTTAAAACAAGATGTTCTGCTTTCTAGGTCTTGATCCTGGATGAAGCGACAGCTGCCATGGACACAGAGACCGATCTACTGATCCAAGAAACAATCAGAGAGGCCTTTGCAGACTGTACAATGCTGACGATTGCTCACCGCCTTCATACAGTTCTGGGCTCTGATCGGATTATGGTGCTGATGCAAGGCCAGGTGAGCAAGAACTGAATGCCTTTTCCCTCTCTGGAAATACATGCACAGCCTTGTTGCATTGAGCCTCTCCAAGCTGAGACAGAACTCTGTAGAATTCTGCATAATTAAGTGAATTGTTGGCAGAGCGAGATAAAACACAGCCTCCAAGGTGAAAAGTGGTTCAGCAGTGAAACATGCTGCTTTTGTGAGATGGTTTGGTAAACCTCTCTTAATGGTTGATAAGAAGGATCCTATTGTACTCCAAGGCTGGGAACCACCTCTGTATTTAACACAAACTCCAGTCCAAGGTAAAATTAGCAAAGCGGTTTATTGCAGAATGTATATGGAAAGCAGTTCAGCCAAAAGTTTTAAAAAACCCAAGTCCAAATATCAAGAATAATCCACAGAAATCATAGTACAGGAGTAGCATCAAAAGCCAGGAATACAAAAGCCGAATAAATCCAAAACATGAGCTTCAGGAACAGTCCTCAAAACGTGTTATCATGAAACACGAACAAAAGGAAACATTGGGCACCACAATTGAAGAGAGATGTTGACAAGTGGGAATGTGTCCAGAGGAGGGTGACTAAAATGATCAAGGGTCTGGAGAACAAGCCCTATGAGGAGCGGCTTTAAAGAGCTGGGCATGTTTATCCTGCAGAAGAGAAGGCTGAGAGGAGACATGAGAGGAAGTCATAGGGAGCAAACTTGTTTTCTACTGTCTTGGAGACTAGGACGCGATGGAACAATGGCTTCAAACTACAAGAAAGGAAATTCTATCTGAACATTAGGAAGAATTTCCTAAGAGTGAGAGCTGTTCAGCAGTGGAACTCCCAGAGTGTGGTAAAGGCTCCTTCTTTGGAAGCTTTTAAACAGAGGCTTGGATGGCCATCTGTCGGGGGTGCTTTGAATGCAATTTTCTTGCTTCTTGGCAGGGGGTTGGAGTGGATGACCCATGAGGTCTCTTTCAGCTCTATGATTCTATGGAACATGAAATTAGAAATCCTTTGACTTGACAGTAAAATCATAGAATCATAGAATTCTATGTAGTTCTATACTCAAACACCAACATTGCCCTGACTGACAGGCCAATCATGCTTTCTCCCCTGGGAAACTGATAAGAACTTCTTTGCTAATAAGTGTTTTGACCTTTGTAAACTCTCCTGAGAAGCTCTGTGTTGATGGAACATAAATCTCCTATCTAGATGCTCATTAGTCTGTCTACCTGGACTTTCAGTTTCATCCTCTGAACTCCGATCTATTCCTGACCTTGCTTCCTTACTGGACTGCCTTTGAGGAATGTGGCCTTCAGACACATTGTCAGAAGAAGAAGAAGAAGAAGAGAAAAAGGAAAAGGAAGGGAGAAAAGGGAGGAAGAGAAGAGAAAGGAAGAGAAGGGAAAGGAAGGGAAGGGAAGAGAAAGAAAGAAAGCAAGAAAGAAAGAAGAGAAAGAAAGAAATGAGAAAAAGAAAGAAGAGGAGGAGGAGGCAAAAAACAACAACTTTATTTTTCTACCCCGTCTCCATCTCCCTGAAGGGACTTGGAGCGACTTACATGAGGCCAATCCCAAGGCAGAATACAATTAAAAGCAAAGCAATAACAATTAAGACAGCATAAAACAGCGTAACAACAACAGTAACAGCAGACTAATTTTGGAGGGTGGGGGGAGAAGACCACTATGCGAGCTGGTTAAAGGATAAGGTTTTTAGTGAGGTGGATGGCAATGTATAATAGCATAGGAAATATCATAAAAACAGAGCAAATTAATAGGATCAGGGCTTAACATCTCTTGCTGGCTTTCCTGCGGACTTGCAGACCCAGAATCCCCAGTGTTATCAGAATGACCAACAGGCCCAGAATCCCCAGAGAGATCAGATGCAGGCACAATCAAAAGCTGGAAGTCCGAACGGATTCTCTCCTATGAACCATCAAGGTTGTTAAGATCTCCTGGAGGGGCCCTGCTCTCGGTCCCACCACCCTCGCAATCGCGTCTGATGGGGGCGAGGGACAGGGCCTTCTCGGTGGTGGCCCCTCGGCTCTGGAACTCTCTCCCACTGGAGATTAGAACTGCCCCTTCTCTCCTGACCTTTAGAAAACTGGTGAAAACTTGGCTCTGGAATTTAGCATTTGATGAGTGAGTCACTAACTCCTGACCACATGGACGGATGGCGATGAATTGTGACTTCATTCTGACAACTTGGCCTTGTGTAATTATATGATTGTATTTTTAATGTGTAAGTGTATTATGAGATGTGATGTTTTAAACCTTTGTTTATGAATCTTTTGTTGTGAACCGGACTGAGTCCCTCTGCGGAGGTTGAGAAGACCGGTATATAAAAGTTCCAAATAAATAAATAAATAATAACAAATCCGAATTCATTTCAAAATTGATTTTAATTTGCTTTTTGAAGAAGGCGTTTGGATTCTGTGATCGTTTTGTTCCCTTTCACGTTGGATTCTGTGTGCAGACTGGTTGGGTTTATGAGTTTCTTGGCCTTAGTTCTGTTTCATAAATAAAAGGATGAACGGTGGTTATTTTCATGCATCACTCACATTCTCCCCCCTCTCGATTTGTTTTAGGTGGTGGAATTCGACACTCCGTCTGCTCTTCTGTCCAATGAGAACTCCCGCTTCTATGCCATGTTTGCTGCTGCAGATAATAAGATTGCTGTCAAGGGCTAAAATTCAGGGCAACGTCACTTTAACCTGGAGGGTATTGCATTCTGCCTGTGGCAGGTATTGCCTCCTCCTCCTCCTCGACTTCCTCCATCTCCATGTTCTCGAAGCAGATTTTTGCCTTTTCTTCTTTTAATTTTCAGCATTGCGAGTCAAAAAGAAAAAAAAGTACTGTAAGGAGGATTACTTTATGTTTTTATTATGGTATTTATTCCATATTCTTCTTTCTAATTTTTTGTTTTGTTTTTGTTTTTGCAATTACATGCACTCTACAGAAGTGGCTCAGGGAGCCATGATTATAAATGTCTCGAGAGGCCTATATTGAAGCTTTATACATGTAGCTGTATCTATACAGAATTCTGTACATAGCCTATATTTACAGTGGAAATGTAAGCTGTTTATTTTATATTAAAATAAGCACTGTGTTAATGCCAGTGCATATTCTTTTTCTATCTTTTTTTTTTTTTTGTACAGTTTTGTGATCCTGGGAATCTGGTGCGTGCCAGGCCGCAAAGGGCGCTCTTTTTGTCTCTTACGGTCAGGCTTCTCTTTAGCGCTGGGCTTTCCCAGATCATTGGATGGAAGTCGAACTTTTGCAGCAGTGTCCTTCTGTGTCCTGATTCTCCTGAATTGGCTCTGGATGTGGACTCCGGTTATGTGATGCGGTCACACCGTACCTGTTGAGCACAGCGGCGTATTGCTAGGGCGCGTCGAAGTAGCAAGAGCTGCTTCCCACGCCTCTTTCTGTAGATGGAGCTCGGTTACTTTCCTTATTTCCGATTTCACGAGCGAACTATGTCGCTCGCAGTAGGGGAAGAACTACCCATTTGTCTCAGGTATCTTTAACGAAGGAGGACTCGTCGTCGCTCACACCAGTGCAATAAAGGGAATGTGAGGACATTCTCTGCCTGTAGAGTTTTATAGAAAGGACATGCACATTCCTTCAGCCGAACAAACGCTCCTGCTCGTAAATCAAGGACTCTTCAGGTTTGGGACTGTGGTGCTGCTTTGCAAAAGCTTTCATAGTTGCCTCTGCCGAATTACTGATTTAGAGATACTACTAATGCTTCGTTTGGAAAGCTCTTCAGATACTTTGATAATTGTAACAATTAACAGTTTACATTGCTCCATATATGTGGCCACTTCCTTCCCCCCTGGATATTGGTTCCTGAAGTTGCTCCCCTCATCCCCCCATCTGCAATTTTTAGCAGGTCCCTCCCTCTGCTGATCAGGGTTTGACCGCTGTAGGAAATGTTATTTTCTTACAGTAAAGAGACCTACCTCAGGTTGCCGAGTCCTGTGTAGCACGTTACCATGGTGGCTGTAGGCCGCCCCCGTCGTATGGGCCCAGTAGCCCTGGCGGGCATGGTCAGTCCTGTAATAGCCGTTAACTTTCCATCGGTCAGCGTCGCATGTGGGTTTCTTTCTCTGGTCCGTCTGGACTTTCATAGCCTTAGCATGTTTGCTAATTGTCTTGTCAAGACAAACATCCGAGAAAGTGAATAAAAACTATTTTGGCTTTTGTAAACACCTGTGTGGAACTTGTCTTTGGGGCGTTGGTTGGTTTATTAGAGTTACAAGCTGGGTAGATGCAGGGAATGCTGTGGATGTAGAACATCTGGATTTCAGGAAGGCCTCCCTTCGACAAGGTCCCTGTCAAGACCCAGAAGCCTCAAGAACGCCAAACACAATATAAAAGGTCCAAACAAAGGTTTATTAAACACAAAAAGGCTTAGAGACACTTAATTCAGTGCCTCTAGCAGAAACAAAGAGTCTATAGCAACCGCTAAGCAAAAAACCCAACTTAAATATAATCTGGATTATATTATACCTACGGCTGGGCCAAATGTAAAATTAAAATTTTAAAAATAATGCTGGGCATGATCAAGGTAGGATATAACTGGGATGGAAATTTTCGGAGGGGATAGGGCGTGCAAATCAATCAATCCTAAATGAATAATAAAGTGCATTTTGAGGGCATATTGCTGAGAAATTCATTATTCTGGAAAGGCACACTGGAACAACCAAGTTTTCAGGCTCCTCCTAAAAATTGCCAGAGTTGGAGCATCCCAGATCTCCTTGGGAAGCGAGATCCAGAGTCGAGGGGCCACCACCGAGAAGGCCCTCTCCCTCGTCCTCACCAATCGTGCCAGCGATAAGAGGTGGGAGCATGAGCAGGGCCTCTCCAGATGATCGAAGAGATCGTGTGGGTTCATACACAGAGATGCGGTCACGTAGGTAGGTAGGTCCCAAACTGTTCAGGGCTTTGAATTGGGACCGGAAAATGAACGGCAGCCAGTGGAGCTCCTTAAACAGGAGGGTTGACCGCTCCCTGTAAGGAGCACAAGTTAACAACCTGGCAGCCGCCCGTTGAACCAATTAAAATTTCTGGGCAGCCCCACGTAGAGTGTATTACAGTAGTCCAATCTGGAGGTGACTAAGGCATGGACCACCCTGGCCAGATCCGCCTTCACGAGGTATGGTCGCAGCTGGTGCACGAGTCTTAATTGTGCAAAGGCCCTCCCTGCCACCACCGACACCCGATTCTAAACCTGGAATCACAAGGAAAGTAGTCCAATGTGGGCTAGGCAAAACTATGGTTAGGTGGATCTGTAATTGGTTAAATGAACAAACCCAGAGGGTGATTCTCCCCAATGCTTCCTCTTCATCCTGGAAAGAAGTGAGGAGTGGAGTGCCATCAGCAGGGATCCGTCCTGGGCCCGGTCCTGTTCAACCACTTAGATCAGGGGTCCTCAAACTTTTTAAACAGAGGGCCAGTTCACAGTCCCTCAAACTGTTGGCGGGCCGGATTATAATTTGAAAAAAAATACATGAATGAATTCCTTTGCACATTACACATATCTTACTTGTGGTGCAAAAAATACTTTAAAACAATACAATAATTGTTTTCATGGCCGGAATCACTGGGTTGTTGTAGGTTTTTTCGGGCTATATGGCCATGTTCTAGAGGCATTCTCTCCTGACGTCTCGCCTGCTGTGAAATAATCTGAGGATGCTTGCCATAGATGCAGGCGAAACGTCAGGAGAGAATGCCTCTAGAACATGGCCATATAGCCCGAAAAAACCTACAACAACCCAATACAATAATTAAAATGAAGAACAATTTTAACAAATATAAACTTATTAGTATTGCAATGGGAAGTGTGAGCCTGCTTTATTTATTATTTATTATTTACTATACTTGTATACCGCCTCTCTCAGCCCGGAGGCGACTCGAGGCGATTTACACTTGGCAATTAATGCCCCACAAGATAAAATTCAGTCAAAAACAATTACATATAGTATAAACCGTATAAAAACAATAACAACAAACAATTAAAATAATAAAATACAGTTCTCAGCGTCTCATCATTAAAATCATTTTTCATCTCATCGTCCTGTCGTTCCATTAGTCTCAATTAATCAGTTATACTGTGTCTGCAAATGCCTGCTCGAACAGCCAGGTCTTATCTCTCTTTCAAAATGTCAGGAGGGAGGGGGCCAATCTAATGTCCCTAGGGAGGGCATTCCATAGCCGAGGGGGCACCACTGAGAAGGCCCTGTCTCTCGTTCCCACCAATCGGATCTGCAAAGAAGGTGGGACCGAGAGCAGGGCCTCTCCAGACAATCTTAAACACCTAGATCTCAACCTGGGGTCCCCAGATGTTTTTGGCCTACAATTCCCAGAAATCCCAGCCAGTTTACCAGCTGTTAGGATTTCTGGGAGTTGAAGGCCAAAAACATCTGGGGACCCCAGGTTGACCCTGAGCGAGGGCCAGGTAAATTACCTTAGAGGGCCGCATCCGGTTCCCGGACCTTAGTTTGAGGACCCCTGATTTAGATGAAGGATAGAAGGTATGATCATCAAGTTTGCAGACGACACCAAATTGGCAGGGTTAGCTAATACCCAGAAGACAGAAGCAGAACTCAAAACAATCTTCACAGATTAGAGAGATGATTGGCCAAAACTAAGAAAGTTCAACAGGGACAAATGCAAGAGACTCCATTTAGGCAGAAAAAAATGTAATGCAAAGATACAGAAAGGGGGACGATGCCTGGCTCGACAGCAGGACGTGTGGAAAAGATCTTGGAGTCCTCCTGGGGAGGAAGGTGAACATGAGCCAACAATGTCATGCTGCAGCTAAAAAAGCCAATGGGATCTTGTCCTGCATCAGTAGGAGTCTAGTGTCTAGATCTAGGGAAGTCATGCTACCTCCCTATTCTGCCTTGGTCAGACCACACCTGGAATCACACTGTGTCCCATTCTGGGCACCGCAATTGAAGGAAGATGTTGACAAGTTGGAATGTGCCTAGAGGAGGGTGGCTAAAATGATTACGGGTCTGGAGAACAAGCCCTATGAGGAGCGGCTTCAAGAGCTGGGCATGTTTCGCCTGCAGAAGAGAAGGCTGAGAGGAGTCAGGATGAGGGCCATGGATCAAGATGTGAGGGGAAGTCATAGGGAGGAGGGAGCAAGTCTGTCTTCTGCTGCCCTGGCTTTAACTACAGGAAAGGAGATTCAGACAGAACATTAGGAAGAACTTCATCACTGTGGGAGCTGTTCAGCAGTGGAACTCTCTGCCTCGGTGGAGGCTCCTTCTTTGGAGGCTTTTAAGCAGAGGCTGGATGGCCATCTGCTGGGGGTGTTTTTAATGCAATTTAATGCAACTACAACTGGGCTTTATAGTTCACCTCCAATCAAAGAGCATTCTGAACCCCATCACTGATAGAATTGGGCCAGACTTCCCACACAGAACCCTCATGACCAACAGAAAGTTTTCTTATGGTCTTTGGTGACTGTTCTGACACCCCCTAGCAACCCCCCGCCTCCAGGGGTCCCGACCCCCAGGTTGAGAAATGCTGGTCTAGTGTTTTGGTGTTCCATAATGGTTAAAGGGGATGGGAACCAAATTAACAAGGGGCAAAAGGTTGATTTGGTTCCCTGGTGATAAGGTGCTAGTAAGGAAGGTTGAGAAACACTGGCTTAACCTGGGAAGGAATCCCCCTGGAGCATTGCAGCGCACCCAAATACCTGGGAGTCACTCTGGACCGTGCTCTTACCTACAAGAAGCACTGCCTGAACATCAAGCAAAAAGTGGGTGCTAGAAACAATATCATACAAAAGCTGACTGGCACAACCTGGGGATCACAACCAGATACAGTGAAGACATCTGCCCTTGCGCTGTGCTACTCTGCTGCTGAGTATGCATGCCCAGAGTGGAACACATCTCACCACGCTAAAACAGTGGATGTGGCTCTTAATGAGACATGCCGCATTATCAGGGGTGTCTGCGCCCTACACCACTGGAGAAATTACACTGCTTAGCCGGTATTGCACCACCTGACATCCGCCGGGAAGTAGCAGCCAATAGTGAAAGGACCAAGGCAGAGACATCTCCATCTCATCCCTTGTTTGGGTATCAGCCAGCACGTCAACGACTTAAATCAAGACATAGTTTTCTAAGATCTACAGAGACACTCACTGGAACGTCTCAGCAAGCGAGAGTCCAAAAGTGGCAGGCTCAAACCCAGATCCTCAACCAATGGCTGATACCAAATGAGAGACTCCCTCCTGGGCACACAGAAAACCGGGCGACTTGGAAGGCGCTGAACAGACTGCGCTCTGGCCCCACGAGATGCAGAGCCAACCTCAAGAAATGGGGCTATAAAGTGGAATCCATGACATGCGAGTGTGGAGAAGAGCAAAGAACTGACCACCTGCTGCAATGCACCCTGAGCCCTGCCACATGCACAAGGGAGGACCTTCTTGTGGCAACACCAGAGGCACTCCAAGTGGCCAGATACTGGTCAAAGGACATTTAGTCAACTACCAAACTCACACATTTTGTATTTTCTCTGTTTGTTTGCTTTGTTCTGTTAGAAATGTAATATAACTGACTGGCTGCCCTGACACGAGAAATAATAAAAATAAGTAATGGCCGAAAGCGAGGAGGAGCTGAGGAGCCTTCTAATCAAGGTGAAAGAAGAAAGCGCAAAAGTTGGGTTGCAGCTAAACATCAAAAAAACCAAGATCATGACAAGAATGATTGACAACTGGAAAATAGAGGGAGAAAATGTGGAGGCCGTGACAGACTTTGTATTTCTAGGTGCAAAGATTACTGCAGATGCAGACTGCAGCCAGGAAATCAGAAGACGCTTACTTCTTGGGAGGAGAGCAATGTCCAGTCTCGATAAAATAGTAAAGAGTAGAGACATCACACTGGCAACCAAGATCCGCCTAGTCCAAGCCATGGTCTTCCCTGTAGTAACCTACGGATGTGAGAGCTGGACCTTAGGGAAGGCTGAGCGAAGGAAGATCGATGCTTTTGAGCTGTGGTGTTGGAGGAAAGTTCTGAGAGTGCCTTGGACTGCGAGAAGAGCCAACCAGTCCATCCTCCAGGAAATAAAGCCCGACTGCTCATTGGAGGGAAGGATACTAGAGACAAAGTTGAAGTACTTTGGCCACAAACTTGGATGTTTGAACGGGCATTCGGTTAAACAGTGCAATGAATGTGATGATTACAGGAATGGAAATTTGGACGACAAATTGGATCACGACTCTAGTTATGAGATGCATTGTGTTGTCTATTGTTGTGTCAATATTGTATATTATGCTTTTATGGTTTTAAATTGTATATCGTTGATTGATTCTTATCCTTGTTGTAAACCGCGTTGAGTCGCCTGTTGGGCTGAGAAACTGCGGTATACAAGTAAAGGAAAAAAATAATGGGACAAATGAGGAAAGCCGAGAGAAGACAATTATGCTGGGGAAAGTAGAAGGCAAAAGGGAGAGGGGCCGATCAAGGGCAAGATGGATGGATGGCATCCTTGAAGTGACTGGACTGACCTTGAAGGAGCTGGGGGTGGTGACGGCCGACAGGGAGCTCTGGCGTGGGCTGGTCCATGAGGTCACGAAGAGTCGGAGACGACTGAACGAATGAACAACACAGCAGTAAGAGCACCTAGAGCTTCGGAGAGCTTCTGTTCAACCATCTCAAAGCTCCCTGCTTGAGCAGTAATGGCAGACATGGGCAAACTTTGGTCTTGTGGCATTCTTGAAGTGACTGAACTGACCTTGAAGGAGCTGGGGGTGGTGACGGCCGACAGGGAGCTCTGGCATGGGCTGGGCCATGAGGTCACGAAGAGTCGGAGACGACTGAACGAATGAACAACAAGGAAAGTTGAGAAGCATTGGTTTAAATTAGGGTTGGTTTGGCGCGCCCCCTGGTGGCGGCGGAGAGACTCCGCCTCGCGTTGCGCCGCCCTTGGCTTCTCTCTGGCGCCCCCTGCCGCCCAAGCGCCCACTCACTCCGCCCATAAGAGCAGTGGCGGCGACGGCGTCGGCTGCGTTGCTGCTGCTGGTGCTGGCGGTGCTGCCTGTGCTTCCGCGGCGGGGTGGGGTTGGCCAAGCCGAGCCTCTTCCCCTTCCTCCTTCCTCCTCCTTCCTCCTCGGCTCCCTCCATGGATTTCACTTAGCTCCAGCCCTCCCTCCCCTCCCTCCCTCCCTCGGCATGGCCGGGCCCACGGAGTCCCCTCGCGACGTGGCCTCGGCGTCCAGCTCCTCGCTCTTCCGCCTCCGCCACCTCCGCCTCGGGCTGGACCTCCGCCCTGAAGCCCGGGCTTTGGCCGGATGCTTGGTCCTGGAGCTCTGCGCCAGGGAGGGCGAGGAAGAGGAAGAGGAAGAGGAAGAAGAGGAGGAGGAGGAAGAGAAGAGGAAGCAGCTCTGGACGCTCGTGCTGGACACTCACCCCGCCTTGAGGGTGGCCTCGGTGGGCTTCAGGCCTTCCCCCCTGGGGGAGAAGCGATGCGGGTTCGTCTTCCACTCCGCAGGGACCCCCAAGGCCCACCCCAGCTCCTCCTCGCCCCCTTCTTCCTCCTCCCCAAGGCGGGGGGTCTCCAGGGGGGACACCAATTCCCATGCGCTCTCGGCCTCAGGACCCTCAGCTGACCCCTCCAGACCCCTGTTAACCCTTCAAGACCCTGCCTCAAGCCCTGACCCCTCAAGACCACCATTGACCCCTCAAGACCCCTCTTCGAGTCTATACCCTTCAAGATCCCTGTTGACCCCTCAAAACCCTTCCTCAAGCCCTGACCCCTCAAGACCCTTGTTGACCCTTCAAGAACCCTCTTCGAACCCATACCCCTCAAGATTGCTGTTGACCCCTGATCCCTCAAGACCACCATTGACTCCTCAAGGCCCCTCGTTGAGTCTATACCCTTCAAGACCCCTGTTGACCCCTCAAGACCCTTCCTCAAGCCCTGACCCCTCAAGACCCTTGTTGACCCTTCAAGACCCCTCTTCGAACCCATACCCCTCAAGACCCCTGTTGACCTCTCAAGACTCTTCCTCAAGCCCTGATCCCTCAAGACCACCATTGACTCCTCAAGACCCCTCGTTGAGTCTATACCCTTCAAGACCCCTGTTGACCCCTCAAGACCCTTCCTCAAGCCCTGACCCATCAAGACCCCCGTTGATGCCTCAAAACCTCTCATCAAGCCCGTACCCCTCAAGATCCTTGTTGACCCCTCAAGACCCCTCTTCAAGCCCATACCCCTCAAGACTCCTATTGACCCCTCAAGACCCATCATCAAGTCCATACCCCTCAAGACCCCTGTTGACCCCTCAAGACCCATCGTCGAGCCCTGACCCCTCAAGAGCCCCGTTGACCTCCCGAAAGGCTCATGCTCAACACCCCTCTCCGACCCTTTCTTCTGCCCACTCTGATAGTCCCTCGTTGGACTCCCGATTGGCCCACGACCACTGCAAGGCTGTGATGGATCCTCATTCCTCTTCTGCTCAAGCTTGCCCCTTGGGACCCTCAGATGCCCACCACACTGCCTTGGCCTCCTCCTCCGCTCACCCCGGATTCCCCTCGGGATCCTTGCAGCAGCACCAGCAGGGACTTCACGGTGACGACCCCACCGTCGACCTCAAGGCCTTCCCGTTCTCGGACTGCTCCCTCTTCCCCGAGGTGCCCCCTCCGCCAGTGCCCACCTTCCCGGACCCCCCAGCGCTGTCTTCCTCTCTGCCTCCTCGCCCGCTCTTCTTCAGGGTGGACCCCTTCACCGACTACGGCTCGGCGCTCACCATCTCATTGCCTTCTTCGCTGGAGCCGCACCAGCCTTTCCAGGTCATCATACGCTACACCACCATCGATGCACCAGCGGTAAGTTGACTTGTTGAGTTGAGTGTTTACATCAGTGGTTCCCAACCTTTGGTCCTCCAGGTGTTTAGGACTTCAACTCCCAGAAATCTCAGCCAACTTACCAGCTATTAGGAACTGTGGGAGCTGAAGGCCCAAAGGTTGGGAACCAGTGATCCACATACAGGAGTTGTTTATCTTGTCATAAGTGAGTAGAGCAGTGGTTCTCAACCTATGGGTCCCCAGATGTTTTGGCCTTCAACTCCCAGAAATCCTAACAGCTGGTAAACTGGCTGGGATTTCTGGGAGTTGTAGGCCAAAACACCTGGGGACCCACAGGTTGAGAACCACTGGAGTAGAGGGTACAGTTAAAATGCATTTAAAAACACAAACAAGGCATTATGCTCAATGCTCTTTGACCAGTATCTGGCCTCCTGGAATGCCTCTGGTGTTGCTGCAAGAAGATCCTCCATTGCGCATGTAGCAGGGCTCAGGTTGCATTGCAGCAGGTGGTCTGTAGTTTGCTCTTCTCCACACTCGCATGTCGTGGATTCCACTCTGTAGCCCCATTTCTTAAGGTTGGCTCTGCATCTCGTGGTGCCAGAGCGCAGTCTGTTCAGCGCCTTCCAAGTCTCCCAATCTTCTGTGTGCCCAGGAGGGAGTTTCTCATCCAGTCTCAGCCACTGATTGAGGTTCTGGGTTTTAGACTGCCACTTTTGGACTTTTGCTTGCTGAGGTTTACTTATTTGTCGTGTCAGGGCAACCAGTCAATTGTATTACATTTCTAACAGGACAAAACAAACAAACAGACAAAATACAAAATTTGTGAGTTTGGTAGTTGTCCTTTGACCAGTATCTGGCCACTTGGAGTGCCTCTGGTGTTGCTGCAAGAAGGTCCTCCCTTGTGCATGTGGCAGGGCTCAGGTTGCATTGCAGCAGGTGGTCAGGGGTTTGCTCTTCTCCACACTCATGTTGTGGATTCCACTTTGTAGCCCCATTTCTTAAGGTTGGCTCTGCATCTCGTGGGGCCAGAGCGCAGTCTGTTCAACGCCTTCCAAGTCGCCCAGTTTTCTGTGTGCCCAGGAGGGAGTCTCTCATTTGGTATCAGCCATTTGTTGAGGTTCTGGGTTTGAGCCTGCCACTTTTGGACTCTCACTTGCTGAGGTGTTCCAGCGAGTGTCTCTGTAGATCTTAGAAAACTATTTCTAGATTTAAGTCATTGACATGCTGGCTGATACCCAAACAGGGGATGAGCTGGAGATGTCTCTGCCTTGGTCCTTTCACTATTGGCTGCTACTTCCCAGCGGATGTCAGGTGGTGCAATACCGGCTAAGCAGTGTAATTTCTCCAGTGGTGTAGGGCGCAGACACCCCGTGATAATGCGGCATGTCTCATTAAGAGCCACATCCACTGTTTTAGTGTGGTGAGATGTGTTCCACACTGGGCATGCATACTCAGCAGCAGAGTAGCACAGCGCAAGGGCAGATGTCTTCACTGTATCTGGTTGTGATCCTGTGGATGAACAGATGGCAACTACTGGGTGGCATATGTATTATATCAGAAACTAGAGTTGATGTGGTTTGTCCAATGCAGTTTTCTGAATCAGCACCCCAAATAACCAAACTGAAACAGTTTACCAGCTGTTAGGATTTCTGGGAATTGAAGGCCAAAAACATCTTGGGACCCAGGTTGAGAACCACTGCTCTAGTTGCTACATGGTTTCAAGGCAACTGTGTAGTAATGGTGAGGCCATAGACCATATTTTCGTTCTTGCGGACCACTGGTGGTCCTCGGATCACAGGTTGAAAACCACGGACATACAGGCATGGGCCAACTTTGGTCCTCCAGGTGTTTCAAACTCCCACACTTCCCAACAGACTGTAAGGCTGTTGAGTATAGTCTCTAGACCAGGCATGGGCCAACTTGGGCCTCCTCTCCAGGACTTTGGACTTCCAACTCCCACAATTCCTAACAGCCAGTAATGCTGTTGAGTAGAGCGTCTAGACCAGGCATGGGCCAACTTGGGCCTCCCCTCCGGGTGTTTTGGACTTCCAACTCCCACAATACCTAACCACCAGTAAGGTCGTTGAGTATAATGTCTACATACGTGCATGGGTCAACTTTGGCTCTTCCTCCAGGTATTTTGGACTTCAACTCCCACAGTTCCCAACAGCCAATAAGGTTGTTGAGTATAGTGTCTACATACATGGATGGGTGAACTTTGGCTCTCCCTCCAGGTGTTTTGGACTTCAACTCCCATAGTTCCAACAGCCAGTAAGGTCGTTGAGTATAATGTTTACATACATGCATGGGTCAACTTTGGCTCTCCCTCCAGGTTTTTGTTCTTCCAACTCCCACAGTTCCTAACAGCCAGTTAGGTCGTTGAGTGTAGTATCTAACATACATGCATGGGTCAACTTTGGCTCTCCCTCCAGGTTTTTGGACTTCCAACTCCCACAGTTCCCAACAGTTCTTACAGTTCCCAATAGCCAGTAAAGTCATTGAGTATAGTGTCTACATACATGCATGGGTCAACTTTGGCTCTCCCTCCAGGTGTTTTGGACTTCAACTCCTACAGTTCCCAACAGCCAGTAAGGTCATTGAGTATAATGTTTACATACATGCATGGGTCAACTTTGGCTCTCCCTCCAGGTTTTTGTTCTTCCAACTCCCACAGTTCCTAACAGCCAGTTAGGTCGTTGAGTGTAGTATCTAACATACATGCATGGGTCAACTTTGGCTCTCCCTCCAGGTTTTTGGACTTCCAACTCCCACAGTTCCCAACAGTTCTTACAGTTCCCAATAGCCAGTAAAGTCATTGAGTATAGTGTCTACATACATGCATGGGTCAACTTTGGCTCTCCCTCCAGGTGTTTTGGACTTCAACTCCCACAGTTCCCAACAGCCAATAAGGTTGTTGAGTATAGTGTCTACATACATGGATGGGTGAACTTTGGCTCTCCCTCCAGGTGTTTTGGACTTCAACTCCCATAGTTCCAACAGCCAGTAAGGTCGTTGAGTATAGTGTCTACATACATGCATGGGTCAACTTTGGCTCTCCCTCCAGGTGTTTTGGACTTCAACTCCTACAGTTCCCAACAGCCAGTAAGGTCATTGAGTATAATGTTTACATACATGCATGGGTCAACTTTGGCTCTCCCTCCAGGTTTTTGTTCTTCCAACTCCCACAGTTCCTAACAGCCAGTTAGGTTGTTGAGTGTAGTATCTAACATACATGCATGGGTCAACTTTGGCTCTCCCTCCAGGTATTTTGGACTTCAACTCCCACAGTTCCAACAGCCAGTAAGGTCATTGAGTATAGTGCCTACATACATGCATGGGTCAACTCAGACTCTCCCTCCCGGTATTTTGGACTTCAACTCCTACAGTTCCCAACAACCAGTAAGGTCTCTAGACCATGGCCATATAGCCCAAAAAAACCCACAACAACCCAGCCAGTAAGGTCATTGAGTATAGTGTCTACATACATGCATGGGCCAACTTTGGCTCTTCCTCCAGGTTTTTGGACTTCCAACTCCCACAGTTCCCAACAGTTCCCACAGTTACCAATAGCCAGTAAGGTCATTGAGTATAGTGTCTACATGCATGCATGGGTCAACTTTGGCTCTCCCTCCAGGTGTTTTGGACTTCCAACTCCCACAATTCCTAACAGCTGGTAAGGCTGTTGAGTATAGTGTTTAGACCAGTCATGGGCCAACTTTGGCTCTCCCTCTACCTGGAGGGAGGGCCCAAGTTGGCCCGTGCCTTCTCTATGGTCATAATTATAGTGTTTGTGAGTTTGCCACAGTAGTGTCAATAATACCTACGACCCCGTCATGTTTCCAGTATGGCCTGATTTCCAGATGGGCCTTGGGTAAACAGAAGTCTTCTTGTTCCGCAAAGGAATTATTCAGTTTTGGTTCAGTTCGGTGCCTGGAGCTGTTTTCTTCAAACGGAATAACAGATGAGGAAGTTATCCCATCCTTAAAGCCTCTTCCTCAGCCCAAGGAAGACTGTGTATTCTATTGCAGAAAACATTACTTGTAAGTGTTATAATATGTTTTTGATGGCCGTGGTGGCGGCAGCCATGCTAATACTGCTGGTAGTGGTGGTGGTGATGATGTTGACGTGTCATCTGAGTGGAGTATTATTATGATTATATTAATTTATACACTTCTTTATCTCTCCTGCAGGAGACTCAAAGCAACTTGTATTGCTTTAGAGCAGTGTTTCTCAACCTTCCTAATGCCGCGACCCCTTACTACAGTTCCTCATGTTGTGGTGACCCCCAACCATAACATTATTTTCATTGCTACTTCATAATTTTGCTACTGTTATGAATCGTAATGTAAACATCTGATATGCAGGATGTATTTTCATTCACTGGACCACATTTGGCACAAATACCCAATATGCCCAAATCCGAATACAGGGTGGTGATTTTGTCGTTTGGGAATTGTTGTCGCAGGGATTTATAGTTAATGTGCAGGTACAACTGCACCAGGAGCTCCAATTTTGTTTGCTTTGCATTTAATGTTTGTTATAGTCCTAAGTTTCAGGAACTCTGCAGATAGGTGGCTTCTTTTGGCTGCAATCATAGAGCAAGCCACCTGTCAATTATAGTTAGGTTCCCTGGTCCCGCCCCCTTTGGGTTTTTGGAGGGAATAGGAGCCAGTTTGGGTTCAGTCCACACAGAGAAGCTTTCCATGCAGGACATAATACCAAGAGCTCCTGTAGAAAGCTTCATCTTCTACAGCTTGGCCGGGGTTATACAGCCCATGGCTTGGCCGGGGAGATATACAGCCCACAGTTTGGCCGAGGATCATACAGCCTTACAGCTCCTTCGCTGAGGAACTTCACCGAAACCTGAACTCCTTTTCCCTGGAAGTCTACACAGCTCTGCTTGGTAAGGGTCACTCACGGAAGCCAGAAGCAGTTGGTACCGGGTGCAGGGGCTCCACGCCAACAGAGGCAAAGACAGATTGCCCAGATTAGAAGTTAAGGATTTTCCCATTAGTTAATGT